GTCAAGGGACCATTATGGTGAGGAAGACAAGGAGCTTTCAGCGGTCCTTTAAAAGCATGAAAATTTCATGGTTGTTTCAGGTTAAGCCACGTGACCAGCTGTCGTCCTTCAAGTCTTTCGATAGTTCTCACACTTACAGGTAGATCTCATCCTCACTCACTCACTCTCTCGCTCCATCTTTCTCTCGCTCTCTCACTCACTCTCTCTTTCTCTCGCTCTCTCTCTCTCTCTTTCTCTTCCTCTCTCTCTCTCTCTCTCTCTCTCTCTCTCTCTCTCTCATCCCTCCATTTTCAGGTGTCTCATCGGGTTTCCACACAGCTGAGGCTCTCCTCCTCGTCTCCCTATTCTTCAAATGTTTCCGGAGACCGGATCCTCACATTAATCTCTTCCCGATTGTCCTTGTGTAAGTTATCATTTTGAAGAGAGAGAGAGAGCCAGGCCACAATGATAACCTCCCATTAATGCCCCGTTTCCAGGCTGTCCTCCTTCGCCCTTGTCTACTCCTTCTTCTCATCCACAATCCTGCTCATCGCCATGTATGCCTCATTCGATACGAGTTGTCTTATGGCGGGTAAACAGGTACTGTGAGTTAGAGAGAGAGAGAGAGAGAGAGAGAGAGAGAGAGAGAGTTCAAGTGAGAGAGAGACAGGTCGGGTGGGGAGAGAATTATAGAAAGCATGAGAGAGAGGGTGTGCGAGATTGAGAGAGATAAATACGCCTTAAGATACCTTATAGTTTTTAAGAAAAACAGATTTGCGATAAATCTAAAAATTTCAAATTCAAAATTGCAGTTTGAATTTCAGCGTCTCTTCGTCATCTCCTGGTTATTGGCGTGCCTCTCGATCCTGCTCCACCTCCTCTTCATCGTCAGAAGTCTTCTCCTCGGCTGGCTTCGGACCCCAATCCATCCCTCAGACTGCCGCTCCTCTACCGTATTCACTGTCGAGAGTCCACCCCCGTACTTCGAACAGATCCCCTGCCCGCCAAAGTATCGACCCCCGGGTGCAATGCCATAAAAAAAATCGAATTTATTCTGCGGAATCACAGGAAATGGCACGAGTACACGAGACACCAATTGACACTTGAACACCAATAAATAGGGGGCTACAGGCTACAATGGGGCGGATACGGTGAGGCGGAAGTGAGGGGCGCAGTTTAGAAAACGGATAGCAGCCAAATATTACTACTTCCGGGGAACTACTACCGGCGTAAGACTCAAGGTGAGGGGTTCTTTGGCATTACCGGGGGGGTGGGTATTCTTACACTAAAAAATTCTATAATTTTTGGATTATGGATACACAAATCTTGATTTTTTTCGGCCCAAACTGCCAGGTTTTAAGCATTTTACTACGTTTTAAAAATGGTTTTTCGACCAGAGACTCGCCCCCCCCGCTATTGCGAAAGCGCCTGCTTAAGAGGCTTAGGCTTCGGCTTGAGCTTAGGGTTGTGCTTAGGCTTAGGCTAGGCTTAGGCTTAAGCTCAATCTTCAGCGTAAACATGCTGTAAATTTAAGTTATGACTTCAACTTCCGCTTAGAAGTAGCTAGGCCTACTTGACCTTGTCAAAAAATCCAGGAGAAAATCTGGGCGTCGGGCAATGATCACAGCTGCCCCCTGGTCCATCCTCTCCCGGTTCTCCAATCGGGCCCTCACGTCCAGGCCGTCCGGGCCGCCCGGGCCGGCCTGGGTCTCCGGGTGGGCCTTGGCGACCTGGAAGTTCAATAAATTTTTTCAATAATTTTAATAAATATTTTGGCTCCGATTTTAATAGATCCTTTTTGAGTATACTGCCTATTATCCTTGCCCGACACGCAACGTAACCGTAACGCATGCAATTGAGCGCGAGCCAGCTGAGCACGAGCTAATTGAGCACGATCACATGGATCATGCTACCGCAAAGCATTGAAATTAAGCATTGCGGCAATGGAAATGGCCAACCATGAAAATCGACATTCCTAAACAATCGTTGCTAGCCTGCCGAAGCCGCGACGCATCCGCAACGCGCTTATAGGCAACCGGATTAACGGAAAAATCCATACAAATTTTGACTTCCTAGTCCACTTAACTAACTGTAAATTTATTCTTCCTGTTTTCTACAAAAATACCTGACAAAAATGATTCTAAAGAACCTCTGCTAGCCTCCCCCTGAAGCCGCAACTAGGGTTGTTATATGAGTTGGCTTGCACGCAAATTTATTTGCCGAGGACTTTACTCAACAACTGGCAAACAATTTTGTGGCAAGCAAATTAGGAAGTCAAACTCAAATCGATTTCCAATTTGTTTGAAGCGGCTTTTGTTCAAGCCGGGTCAAACAATATTTGACGCGAGTAAACTCGACAGCGAGTTGTTGTTTGAGCTCGAAATTGTTTGCCGGAAGTTGCAAAGATGCTAATTTGCGAAAGGAAATTATGGAAAACAACGAAAATTGGTCCATTTTAAGTTTTGCATGCCAAATTCATTGCAATTTCCTTTCGCATATTAGCATCTTTGCAACTTCCGGCAAACAATTTCGAGCTCAAACAACAACTCGTCGCCGAGTTCACTCATGTCAAAGATTGTTTGACCCGGTCTGAACAAGAGCCGCATCAAACAAAATGGAAATCGAGTTGAGTTTGACTTCTTAATTTGCTTGCCACAAAATTGTTTGCCAGTTGTTGAGTAAAAAAATTCACAAACAACCTTGCGGGTAAACAGTTGCTTACCGCATTTTATGCAAACAAATTTGCCTGCAAGCCAACTCATATAACAACCCTAGCCGCAACCCATCCGCGCCGCACCACTAAAAAGCACCCACCTTGATACGTCTGGCCGGGTGTTCCGGGAGTGCCAGGCTGACCGGGCATTCCGGGTCTTCCGGGCGGTCCCATAGGTCCTCCGGGTCCTCCCTGTACCCTGATCACTTTTCCGGGCGATCCGGCTCTTCCCCGTTCTCCCGGTTGTCCATCGTGTCCCTTTGGTCCTTCCGGTCCTTCTCTTCCCGGGTATCCTCTACCGTATTCCGGAATTCCGGGCTCGCCGGGCATTCCGGGGTATCCGGGTGGACCCTGGAAATTGTAGTTTTTGGGGTTTTAGTGAGGTTCGATACCTTTAGGCCGGGTGGACCGGGCGGGCCCTCGGCGCCTTCTGGGCATACTACGCAGATCTCGACCTGAAAAGGAGAATATTGGTTTGTTAGGTAGGTGTTACTTAGCCTTGGCTTAGGCTTAGGCTTAAGTCGGCCTATATTTGGCTTAAGCTCAGCTTATTGGCTTGGCTGAGGCTGAGGCTTACGGTTAAGTCGGCTTAGCGTTGACCTAAGCTCGGCTTATCCGCCTCGAGGTAAGCTTAGGCTTAGACTGGGACTTGGGCTTTTACTTAAGCTGAGCTTTAGCCTTGAGTCGGCTTGGGCTTAACCTAAAGTCAGGCGGTTAGCTTAAACTCGGCTTGGGCTTAGGCTTAAACCTAGGCTTCTGCTTCACGTTAGGCTTAGGCTTGGGCTTAGACTTACAGCTAGCTGGCCGAAAAACCGACCTGTTTCTCCGAATTATCCTCAGCATCTTTCCCGTCCACTCCCGGCTGCCCCTCTTCGCCGTCAAAACCATCGGAACCGTCCTAAAAACTGCCATTTTAAAGTTATTAAGCAAATAAACACAAATTCTTTACACATCCAATAGCGACAAATTTTTAAAAAATGTGCCTAACCTCTCCCGGGGGCCCAGGAGGCCCCGGTGGGCCCCATAAACAAATTCCAGGCAGTTGCGGGATTTTCACGGGGGTTATGGCGCCGCTGTCGACTAAAAATGGAATTGAAAATCTTTACAATAATTCTATAAACCCCAAAAATAATGGCAGTTATTTCATCTTTATCCTAAAAATACTTAAATTAGGAATGGACCCACTTTTCGGCAGCTCACCACCAAAACCACCACCGCGGTCGCCGAGCGCCTAAAAATCCACGAGTACGACGGAATGATCTGGACGATTGGAAAGTGTGCGAAAGGGTGCGAAAAGCACATGAAAACTGGTGCGGCAAGTGCAAAAAATCATTAAAAGTTATTGATAAAATGGCACTTTGGCGAATTGGTATCATAATGTCGAAATTCATGATGTCGAAATTTCATAATGTCGAAATTTCATAATGTCGAAATTTCACAATGTCGAAATTTCATAATGTCGAAATGTCATAATGTCGAAATTCAGAATGTCGAAATTTACATAGGCTAATATTACCGGTGAAACCGCCAAATCCTAGCCAAAAAATTTTTTCCACATTCTATTTTTTATCTTATTTCACGACAACATTTTTTTGCCTAGAATTCGGGGACTTTACCGGAGTTTTAGCTTATGTAAATTTCGACATTATGACATTTCGACATTCTGACATTTCGACATTATGAATTTCGACATTATGAGTTTCGACATTATGAATTTCGACATTTTGAAAATAAGCCCACTTTGGCATTATCGGGGGGGGTAACAATAATTTTTTATAGGCTCGCAAATGCTTAATAAATGAATAGTAAGTGTCTTAAAAGTGTTTTTCATAAAGTTTAATCATGTTTCCTAAGAAAAACTATCTAACTACCTTGAAATAAGAAATTCTGGTCGCAAAATCGGTTGTTTTGGCGGAAAAATCGATATTTTTGTATTTTTCACACAAAATCGGCAAAGTCTTACGAATAAAAATTGTAAGAAATAGTTTACAAGCACCTTCTTTTTGGTTCTTACGAAAACTGCCCCCCCCCCCGATAATGCAAAAGCACCAGCAACTCAAAACCTCATAAAAATTTAAATCTTTCAACCTTCAGCGCCTCCTGATAGAATCTGCGTCGATGTGCATCGTCGACAAAAGCGTCCTTTCCATCTTGGCCCTTCTGCTGAGGAGGCTTCAGATCGTCGAGATGCAGATCTTTTAGTGATAGTGGGGTTGATGGGTCCTGGATGGAAGAGAGAGAAAGATCAGAAGGGACTGATAGTGATGACAGGGCATTCTGTGCTGATAGTTGACTGCTGAATGGGTTACTCACTGCTGATGAGGAGCCTGAGGTAGAGAAGGGAGAGCCTGAAATATGGGGGAGATCGAGCTGAAACTTTGGAGATCGAGCTGGAATACGGGAGGTCAAGCTGAAAGTCTGGCTAGTCATTGGGAGGGAGGCTCCGTTTATGGATATAAATACCTTAAACGATTTGACTTAATCGATTCCGCTATATAAATGCTATTCCAGCGTACGGTGCGTGATGAAAAACACCCTGTAGCGGTTCGGAGAAGCGTCCGTTTTTTACGATTTAGGTATCTATCGAAAGCTCTCGAAAAGGCAATTCTATTCGCCCACTCAAATTTTCGAAATTCCACAATTTTCTTTGCTCGAATTCGGCATTTTCATAAAAAACGCCGATAATCGACCGATTACGCTAGCTAAAATGCATTTTAGAAGTGATGGGACTACCCAGCGCACAAAACGTAACGAACCTATTTACACGTCATGAAAAACGGTGCTGGTGCGTTAGCGGGGGGACGGCTTTTAACGGTTTCCGGCTTGAGTTGAGCTTACCCGTCCCAGGCGACCCACGGCAACCGTATCTCGGCTCCTCGATAGCCTACAGTGTTGTAAGGTATACCAAAATACTCGTTAGGACAAGGCCAACATTTTCGTATACTTTGCACACCTGTAGACGAACAAGGAGCGAAGATACAAAAGTTGGGTGCCGGCCTGGGCGGTAAAGCGATACCCCTCCCCCCGCTAACGAACCAGAACCAAAAAAATATTGAAAAAATACCCATTTAACCTATTTACACGCCAAAAAAAACCCAAAAAAGTCACACCCACCACCAAACCCTCCAAGCGATCCGAACGCGTCAAATGGGCCGAACTGGCCGAGCGAGGCCGAAGCTCCGGCTCCAGGCTGGCCCAACCCTCCCAACCCTCCAAGGCTCCCAGCTGCCGCCAATGCTTGAGCATCCAGTCCTCCAGCACCAAGCCCAGCCACTCCGCTTGAAGTGAGGGATGAAGCCACCGGGGTAACCGCCCTCCCATCCACCGGACTGATCGATCCCGCGCCAAGCCCACCACCCAGGCTTGACAACGCGCCCAGGTTGGCCTGATCCGATGCTTGGAGTTGTTGGGCTAGGCCGAGCTGCTGCATCTGCAGCTGCTGACTCAGCCCCGAGCCCGCCAGCTTGTTTTGCGCTGAAAAATCTGGAATTCAAAAAAAAAACTGAAAAAAAATAGGGAGGGAAGACTCCAGATACCGCTTCTAGACGGCCCTAAAGGCCGATATCTCGGCACACTGTTGGTCTACAGCTGTGTAAGGAATACCAAAATGTTCGCCTTGATCTGGCGAGTATTTTGGTATACTTTACAGGCCCGTAGGTCAATAGAGAGCCGAGATACAGTATGGCCGGGCCGCCTGGGGAGCTATCTGCAGTTTAGGCAACCAAAAATATTGTTTTATGCGAAAATGTGCAGTTCGAATCCGTCGTATGGAATAAATAAAACTAATACCTAAAAAAAACTATATGAGAAGAAACGGTTCTTTTGCAATATCGGGGGGAGGGAGCAGCTTATCAGAGAAGAGCCGAATTTTTCGTGCAAGTCGCAGAAATGCCCAGTTTAACTAACAAGCGTTTAATAGGGTTTTTCTGAAAATTAACCGATATTTTAAGTAAAAACAAGAGCTAAAACTCCACAAAATTTTTAGTTCGAAACGTTGATCAAAAATCGACATTTTTGTCGAAAAAGCGACATTTTTTGTGGTTTTTTATGAAAATTTTTGCAAAAGAAGCCCTTTAGCAATTTTTCACGTTTCACGTTCAAGAAAAAAAAATGGATCTCCCCGATAATGCTCAAGAACCCAAAACCACTGTAACAACTACCACTACAACAACTATAAATAGTGCGGAAAAACGATAAAAACGATTACTGCTAATCGAATTTTCTTTTATCAAAAAGGTATATTAGGTATTACTAAAGCACACTAATTCTAAAATCAAAAACAACAACCAACCGTATGCTTCTTGTCCGGGCATAAATTGCCCAAAAGCTGCCAGCTGCGCGGGTCCCGTCGCGTAGATTTGGCGCTTCGAGTTTTTGCGTGCGGCTGTCGCGGCTGGAGCTGGAAATTTCCGATTATATTTTAACTACAGTTGAACTATGACTAATAACATTAATAAAATAATAAATACTAAAGATTCTCACTGGATTCTGCGGAATGGACCGTCGGCTTCTTCTGTCCCCTCGCCGCGCGCTTATGCCGGCCAACCGGTTGCCCCATCGCCACTTGCACCTAAAATTCTATTAAAATTAACGTTTCTAAAGTTTTGAAAATTCAACAACTGCATAGACTCAACTGTAAACTCTTCTAAGGCATTCCAAAACATAAAAAATATCAAAATTTCTATTAAAATAGCAAGATATTGATTTTTCGACCAAATTTTCGAATTTTTGGATGTTTTGACAAGTTTTATATAGCGCTTCCACCTGAAAAATAGTCAACTTTAGTAAAAACACTATTAAAATGATTACTATTACATTAATGCGCAAAAACCCGCAACGAAAATTCGGTAAAACTGACCCTGAGCAGCTCGTCCCATAGGTCGTGGGTGCGCAGCCGGCAATACCCAAGCTCGTCTTGCATTGTAGAAGAAATGCGCTGCAGGTGGAGACAGGCGATTGGCACCGCAACAATGCTAAAAAGAGAAGAATTCACTTAGAAATTCCTCCAAACCTCAGCATGCCCGCGAGGATGATCAGCACGATGGCGGCGATGGTGACCCGGCGGAGCCATACGACTTCAGGATGTGCGTAGAAATCCTGGGGGGAAAACTGACTAGATTTTTCTCGGATAAACAATTTTTCAACGTTTTTTAGTAGCTCGGTGCTGGACTGTTAGCGGGGGGTAGCAGGGAACCAATTTTTTTCCCAGTACGGTCCTATAACGAAATTAAAACTTTTAAAAGCATTTTACGCCTTTTTTAAAGCAAAAAAAAACCCTTAAAAAGTAAGAAAATATTCCGAAATACGGAGTTTTGGTCAGAATATGCATGAAAAATGACGAAAAACTATCGAAATTTTCAGTTTTCAAAGATTTTTAAAATTTCACCAGGGTTGAAAACCCGCTTCGCGTCTTTTCAACCCCGTCCAGGACCTGTGAAAGTCCTTAATTGGCATGTTTCTTCCTGAATTCTAGCAAGAAAAAAGTGAAAAACGGCTCCGCTGTCCCTTTATATAGGCTCTTCCTACTTCCGGCGCATGCTAATTTCCCCTAACAAACAGGGTTTTACAAAAACCTATTTTTAATAACGTAAACCGCAATTTTTCAAAATTTTTATGTGTGTGCAGTCGATTCCGGACCATTCTAAACCTATTGTCGTTTCTTCCCTATCCAAAAAACCCTTCCCCGAGGCTGTAGGAGCGGAACATCCTAACGGAAGTGCATGCAAATATACACACACACACACAAACACTATTTTTTTATATATAGTAAGATTAGAATTATAATGAAGAAGAAGAACAAAGAAAGAATGAATTTAGAATTTCACGCCAATAAGAGCCTGCTAAACCCTCTGTAAAACAATATTATTTATGGTTTGTTAATAGGCGGAACCTATCAAAAAAAACCCTTCCCCCCTGGTAGCGCAAAAGCACCCAGAAAATGCATCTTTCATAGGTTCTGAAAGCGGATTCCGAATCAGCGCAAAATTCTAGACAATCTAGTCTATAGTCTATAGTCTATAGTCTATGACAATCTAGACAAGATACAGCAATTTTATCATTTAAAAATCCTCGCTGTTGAACCGCGATTTTTTAAATTAAAAGTTAAAGCGGCAAAAAGTCCAAAATGTACCTTTTCTTCCATAGACATGGACGATCGAATATTTGTCAAACGAAAATGAAGGGCGAAGAGGGTGAGAATGAAGGGGGGAACGGGGGTCTAGTAGACGCACAGTTTTGGCCGGACATTCTAACCAGTTACAGTTCCTCTTTCGCAGGGAAAAGCTCGACCCTCGCCCCACGCGCACCACCCCGCTTCTTGCTTCGTTTTTGCATATAGGCTGTGCGCTTTTCGAGGCGCCCTTTGCATCGCACTCTCTCGCTCACTATCTCTCTCTCTCTCTCTCTCTCTCTCTCTCTCTCCCCCCACTAACTATTTGATCATTGACGAATTGGCAGGTATTCTCTGTCACTTTTTGCTAGTGTGGTCAACCTCCTCGAGTGAAGAATTTCCATTCTTTAGCTTGCCAAAAAATCAATCACATGGCAAAACACCGAATTTTGGAAGAATATTCTTACGATTTTTAGGGTGCTTTTGCATTATCGGGGGATGGAGGGTTCGCGGGGACCGCCGTTTTTTTGGGAGGATCCAATTGTTATAATATAAATAGAGGAGGTGTTTCTAAAGTATTTTTTTACTATTTCTAAACGTAGAAGCTTTACAACGGTTCATCAGAAAACCAAAAAATAACGATTTTTTTTGATGAAAAATGGCCAGCTTTGACCAAAGCGCCTAAAAAACTTTTTTAAGTCTTTGTGATTATTTTTCCGATTAAAATTGAGCCAGATTTCGAAGGACTAAAAATTAAAGCACTTACTATTACGTTGCTAGGCATTTCAGAACTTATAGGAAAAAGATCATCCCCCTCGATAATGCGAAAGCACCTTTTTAATCACCAAAAATTACCACTCTCGAGAGAAATACGTTTTGAACGCTAAAAAATGCATCCAGCGACTAAACCCCCCCCCGCTAAGCGTCCAGTACCAAGCACTTTGGCGACCAGAAAGACCTTTTTCCTCGGCTTCAAAAATCAAATCTTCCCACTCGCTTCAGTGCTTCATCCCAACGCGCCGTGTTGACCTCTGAATTGCCATTCGCTCATAAGAACAACTCCGTTCGGCGCCTCTTTTCGACTCTCGAGGAGGCGAGGAGTACCCGAACTGGAACTCGTGCCCTTTCAATTAGGGCGGGCCACAAAAAATCACCCCCGGCAAGCACGCCGGGTCCCGATCACCGGGTTCTTCTCTCGAAATTCCTTCATTTTCAATCAGCAGGTTCAATCATAATGCCGAAATTTCATAAAGTCGAAATTTCATAACACCGAAAATTCAGAAGGTCGACATTCCTCAGGGTCGAAATTTACGTAAGGAAATCCCCCGGAAAAGCCGGAATTCCTATGAAAGAGACGACATATCGACCTTTCGACATTCGGCAATTTCGAAATTTTAAAACTGGGCATTTTGATAGCTAAACCAATCCGCAGAGAAAAGATCTCAGATCTTTTTTTTGGAATATGTCGTGTTCCAAAAGGATTTCAAGGATTTTTAATTGATCCTGTTTTCGAAATCCCGATCCTCGAAAAGCTTATTTTTTGAAGGGAAACGCCAAAAACTCGACAGCCGAAATCCCGACAGCCAAAATCCCGACATACATAATACTACAGGCCAAAATCCGACAGCCGAAATCCAGACAGCCATAATCTCGACAGCCAGAATGCCGACAATGAAAATACAATTCCACCTAGCCTCAATTTGGATTTTGGCCTATCATGATTTTTGCTGTCGATATTTTAACCGGAATTCATTTTTCGATAACTTTCGAGACGTTTCGTTTTTAAGAGCTGTGAGCAATTTGCGTCGCTTTTCCCCTTGTCGGTTCTACGTATATTTTTTTGAAAGGGGATTTTCGAAAATGACACGCCATCCTACCTTATATAATTTGGTCGCGTATCTTCGTGTGTGTGTGTGTCCGGCGCCAGGGAGGGCTACTTTGCATAATTCCAAAAAAATACAAATTTCCTCATTCTTGCAAGTTGCACGCGCGGGTGTGGTCGGATAAAGGGAGGGGTCCGAAGGACCCAAGCTATCGGAAAGTCAAATTTCTCATGCAAAGGCCGCATTCCAGCGCCCAAGGCCCGCGAAGCGGGTTTTGGGCGCTGGTTCTTCTATAAAAATTTAGTGCATATTGGAAACAACCCACAAAATATTTATTTTATCACCTGTTTCGATGGACAATACCCGGTTAACGCATGACTATTATAACCTGAAAAGGGCAAGGCACAGAAAAAGGCGCATTGTAGCTGCTCAATGAATAAAAACGCACGGGAATAAAAATTTGTACAACATACAACTATTTACATCAATAACTTTCCATCAGCGGGTCCGGCGCGTCGAACTGGTAGAGCGTGTTGATCTTCACCACCGTGCGCTTCTCCTCTTCGATCCGCTCGCCAAACTGAAAGCGTGCGGCTACGATTTAATTCTAGTTCAGCCTACCAAAACCTTGATTTAATTTCACCTACCTCCCGCAATTTGCTAGCGTAATCACTCTTCGAGCCGTTCTTCATGTCCTTGGCGGTGGTGATGAGCGTGAACGTGTCGAGGATGATGCCGATTCCTGCGGCTGTGTGGGCCAATGTTTGCGCCAATTTCGGCGTCAATCGAGCCTGAAATAAGGAATTGTTTTTTTGTTTTCGTTTCCTGATACGCCCTACCGATTCCGTGATCAGCGCCCTTGCCCCGATGCCGGCCAACCCGCTGGTGCCGAGCGCCAAAGCGGGCGCGGCGAAAGACGTGACGTCTGGCGTGCCGGGACCCTGAAATTCCGTGTTATTTCTAGTGCATTATAGTTATTTTTACCGGGTCGGGTCGTTTTTGCTCACTGAACATACATTCAAACATTTTTTGAAACTTTTTAAAAAGTGTAACTTTTTGCCATTTTGATACTTTTATGTCAAAAAAAAACTAATTTTTTGAAAATTTTAATATTTTTCGGTGATTTTTGCTTAGTAAATATTCACAAAAACATCCTTAGAAGATTTTTAAAAGTTCTAGCTTAGTTCTAGCTCTTTTTCTTTAAAGAAAGAAGACAGACTTTTCCCAAAACATCAAAAGTTCATCAAATTTTAACATTTTAAGTTTGCAACAAATTATCATCTACTTGCTATGTCTAAAAACTGCATAAAACGCCATATAAATGGTGTTTATTTCATTAATTGGGGCATCGGTTCAAAATTAGGCCCCCGAAATTACCCACCTTTGTCCTCCGCAACGTCTCCAGCCGCGCAATCTCCTCCCAGGCCTTCACAATAAGCTCCCAGAGAGTCTATAAGGTAGGTAGTTGTCTAATATCATCCAGTATTACCCACCTTGTCATGTTGAATCATCGGCTCGGCGTCTTTCATTCGTTTCTTGATGGCCATCCAGTTGACGACACACGTCGTTATATTCGTGGCCGCCCCAACGCCGCCCACGATAGCTCCTGTTTATAAATCTTATGGAATTTAAGATTTTGATACCTGCTATGGCCACCGGTGGCATCAGAATAAGCCCGGCCACCGTCACGATACCGCCGGCCAGCCCAACAGAGCTACCAACCGTCGTCGAGATGTTGCAGCCGTGCTGTATCGCGTCCAACTATATGGCAATTTTCGGTGATAATTCGTTTGTTGGCAACCAGAACCACCCCCTTTCACTACCGTTTCTCATCACCTGATCAGCAATAAGCTTCAGCCTCTCTACAATCTCTTCACGTTTTCGGGCCCACTCGGCGACCAGTGAGTTCGCGTGGTCAACCGCATCTTGGAAGGCTTGTTCCGGGTCCATCTGAGAGAACGTCATCATCAACAATATTGTAATTGGTTCATTTGTTTTAGAAAAATTTAATTGTAGGCGAAATAGAAAAACTATATAAAAACTTTACAAAATTTTAATAAATTTAGTTCGTTCGAAAACGGACGTTTTTCTTCTAAACCCCGATATTTATTTTTTAACAGACGTGCTAGACTTTATAGTCGCTAATCGTATTTCCTAGAAAAATTAGATTCCAAAGCAAAAAGTTGGTCCCACTGATAATGCGAAAGCTCCTCCCGATTTAGCGGTAAGTCAGTTCAAGCCCACTGAAGCCCACCTCTACATCCCCAGTGTCCTCATCAAAAATCGGCAAATTCTCCCTCGGCCGATAAATCAAAGATCGTTCCGCAACCATGGCTGCTCACTGAAAATAAATTCTTTATCGTAAATCGCGCTTGCACATTTGCCACAACCAGAAAAGGAGATCATCATAGAGTTAATTATATCACAATTCGGTAAATGATTCACAATGACCTAGAAGGTAAGATTAGAGGATGCCAAAACACAACAATTTGGGTGAAATGTGGAGACGCCATTTGGATCAAGAACACCCGTTAATTTCTATAATGTTTTTGAACTTCAAGGGAAAGAGAGCAGTGCAAACGTCGGGCACAGCAAAATCAATAGACAGGCTTGTACTTCTTCAATTCGATCATAATATGGTGAATATTGATTAGATCATTGCGCGCCGGGCATTCACGGAACGCATCATGGCCAGCCATCTTCACGAAACGCTGATACATCGAGACGAATTGCGTGAATGCCGATTGAAGAATTGTGGTGCCGTTCTTGAAATTGGTGAACGACTTGACAATGTCGCCGTTGATCTGGTCGATTGACGCTTTCCAGGTCTGCGCGAAATGGCGGATGACGGCCGTCAATTTCTCATTGTAGCGTACGAGCAGTTGAGCGGCCTGCTGCTCGATCAGCGGCTCACATTCGGTAACCAGCGAGATGATATCCGTGAAGTAGGGGGCGAGACTCAACTCCACGAATTCGCTGGCGGCTTTCTGGCTGAGCTCGTAGACGATTGTGCGGATCCGAGTATTCATCGTCACCCTCTCGTCGAGAATTCCGAGGATCAGATCATAGTTGTTGATCAGGCAGACGAGCCGTTCCCTTGGCTCCCGCCATGTGCTTGCCATCCTGCCCAGCAGCTGCTCAATCGAATCCTCGTTCGATTCGAGCACGCTCTCCAACCGGCCCTCCACGCCAGAATTGGAGACCTCGGAGATGACGAGCAGTGCGCACGTGAGTTCGGCGTAGCGTCGCACAATGTAGTTGGGGCGAGTGTCGAGATGCATTTTCTTGACATCCAGGCTCTTGACGCTTTCGTTGTGCAGGCTCATCACTTGGTCGAAGCGTTGCCAGAGACGGTTCGTGATTTCATCCCAGTACCTAAAAAGCAGGTTTTACGGCGTGTTATACAAAATAAAAGTAGTAGTAGTTACGGAAAAGTATTCACTCCGCGAACGAACCATCACCGAAATCACACCAACTCACCAATTGTTCGTCGGCGTCTCCCGCTCAGTCAGCAGATTCTTGAACTTTGTGGCCAGGCAGATGCAGAGGTAGAGGGAGATGGCATCATAGTTCTGCATGATCTTCTCGTCAAACGCCCGCAGCAATTGGGTGAGTGCTCGATGCATGATTCGCTTGTGCATCTCGACCGCGATCGGCCCGGAAACGAGGAAAAAGTCGGTGATGAACAGGAACTCGTGACTGCAATGGTCGACCAGGGCGAAGTGGATCGACCGGAAGAGGCTCTCGAATTGGAATTTCTCGTTCAGTTCCTTTGCAGCATGTGGGATGATCAGCGGAGCCAGGAACTGATCGCGCAGGAGCTCATGTCTCCGGCCCAATGAGAAGACGGTGGCTCGGTTTCGCACTTGCGGCTTCGCGCCAAAGAACGTAGATATGCCGGTGGTTTTGTGCGTATCTTCCGTGCCGAGTAGATCTTCTTTTGAGGCACTGTCCGTCATCAGCAGCTTGAATAGGCGCGAGGTGTATACCTGAAAGAAAAACATGTACCGTCTTAGAGAAACACACCTTGAAATATGAGAAGAACATCTTCCCAACGGTGTCCACATATTCATCCTGCACTTCGGCAGCGATAACAGCTTCGTGATGGATGAGAAATTCGTAAAAGAAGCGCGACTTGAGCATCTGATGCTGTGGTACTTGATAGTTGGACAAGGGCTTCCGGAACTGATAGATCTTCAGCAGAATCCACTCCCGGCACTTCTCAATCGCTTTTATCCGTAGCGACTCCAATACCGGCTCAACGTCATGAATAGCCCGAGCCTCTTTGTGTTCTTGGGATTGGATGAATAAGATTTTCCGGTGCAGTTCGTGCAGGTTTTCGAGGAAAGTCCGGTCATTCGCGTCTTGCTCAATAATCATCTAAATTTGAGCTTTTTGAAACGCGTTACGATGCCTACCTTTACCATTTGCTGCGGCACAACGATGTCGTCGACAAACTGGCTAATCTCGCCGCGCACTTTCTGTCGATTTTCCAACTCTTGATTCTTGGTCGCGGATTGGCTCTGCAGCGACTTCATATCCTCACTGATTGAACCGAGATCATTTTGGAAGCCACGCAGCACCTATAAATATGAAAATCTCCAAACATAAAACCCTCTCACCTGCTCTAAATTCTCAAATACTTTATCGCATTGGATGATGGCTTCTTGTAGTGCGGTCAGTTTGTCGGAATTCGCCAAAACTTCTTCTACGACAGCCCGGTGCGCCTTGGACAGCTCCGTCTTGATGTTTTCGGAATAATTGCCCAGTTCTGCGGAGAAGCCTAAAGCTGTGTTACAAATTTGGCGAGAAATTAACCTTCAGAAAGTGCCATTCGGACGACATCGATGTTGGCGTTGGACAGCTCGGTGAGTCCGGCTTCTAGTATTTTTGTGGGGTCGTCTTCGGCATTTAGGGACATTCTAAACAGTCATGATTATTGTTTGTCTGGAGAAAATGCTGGTTAATGAGGGGAACGTGAAATATATGCGGTAAGAGAATTCGTTGGACGGAGCCACGCGATCAGCTGGCTTTCCCAACATCAAAAGAGAACACGGACGGGTAGAGACCGCAGACACACCCATGAACAAGAGAATTCCTGTGAACAAGGGCTATTTCCACCAGGCGAGAGAGTCAACACAAAAGTAATTTGGTTTTAACTTTAAAATCTATCGATGGTCAATCCGGTTTGTAAAGTTTGTAGGGAACTATAAAAGGGTTACGCTATCATTTTAAGCTACTTTCCAGTGTCGTAATATCCAGGAAGCCGTACTTTCCAGGTAAAGCGCCGCGGCAGCCATGATGTATGCTGCAGTAAAAAAAAACGGAAAGTTCGACCGAAAATGGATTACGCGACGCTCCAATATACGCTGAGAGAACTAAACTTTCTAAAAAAGCAAATTGGTCAAATCTTCAACTACTCAGTTTCAGAATTCAAAATTTAGTTTTTTTTTCGTGCTCATAACACCTCATTCGATTGAGCGTAATCGGTTCTAGAATCGTAGCAATCAACTTTTTAAAGCTAGAAACCCGATAAATAGTTATGAGCTTGCCAGAAACCAATTTTTTCTTCCCGTTTTTGTCTGTGTAGAGCCCTGCATGTATCTGTCGTAAGTGCCGCTTGGAATTACAATGATGCATAATCATTGGATTAGCCATCCAAAACAAGTGCGGTACGGGTATCGTCGATACCTTACTATACTGCGCTCGCCACATTGCTTGATGGTCAAATGTTTATTCAATCACTAAATGCCAGGGCACTGAAGCGGAATATAAAAATAGGTACTATTGAAGTTGGGGGGGGGGGGGCAAAATTTTTTGCGGCCAATTTTCGTCATTCTCGGCTATTTTGTTCAGTTTTTAATGCTGAATTGAATGCAACTATTTTTAAAATTATTGGATTCGTTTTTCTGAATATTTTAGCAACATTTTTAATAGTAGTTTTATCATCGGGTTTTCGGGCGGTATACAGTAATGATGCCTAAAAGACACTCGATAGAGGTATAAAAGGCAACGTGGAGCGTTCAAAGTTTACTTTTCGCATTTAACTTGGCCAACACCATGGCCAACTCAATCGACGCGTTGCGCGACATAACCCTGCTCGAGCTCATGACGAAAATCCACAAGTCAGACAAGGAACTTGAGGATTGGTTTCAAGATCTCGGCCTTTTTGTTTTTTTTTTTGATATATTTTGTTGACCTAATTGTTACGTTGTTATTATCAAATAAATTTAAAAATAGTTGCATTCGATTCAGCATTAAAAACTGAACAAAATAGTCGAGAATGACGAAAATTGGCCGCCAAAAAATTTTGCCCCCCCCCCCCCCCCAACTTCAATAGTACCTAAAAATTTAACCGGCGGCTTTCCTGGAGCTCCAGCCGTCGTGCAGCAGCTAAAAAATCAAGGATATGTGTGAGCAAAAAACGACCCAGATTCAAAAGTCAAAACGAAAAATGCCGCTTGCCGAAAATCAGTATTAGTGTTGTACCATGCCTCAGCTTCGCCTTTTTGTAATCATTTCTTCGCTGCCAAATTTTGGAAGCTGAATATTGGCCAAAGCCTTTGAATGCCACGTAGGCTCTTTTCGCGACTTCCCAAAATTCGGCCAGAAAATGTACGGCAATCCTGGACAATCACGATCCCGCACTTTGGAATCATGAACCAGATAGGTTTGCCAAAAATTATATGATTTCATAATAGGCTTTTCATCATCGGCAATGGTACCAACTGGAGAGGCAATGTGCGCACTCACGCACTTTCGCCGCTTTTTAAATTCTCCTCTCTGCGCGCGGTAATGCTTTGCATGGCAGCGCCCCGTAGCTTTTGAAAAGTCGTGCTCGCCCGAGCTGACCCGCGAAGGAAAACTTCCACTGTTCGCAAGCACTTTTCTCTGTCTTCGTATGCCATTTAACGAAAACCAATCATTTCTTCCAGATTCCACGATGAATTCGCAGCCGAATTCGGTGCTGGGCGGCATCGGCGGCGAAACCCCGCACGGACTTGGCCCATCTTCGGTAAATTACTTTTAAAGTTTATGATATTGGTTCTTTCGCATTATCGGTGGGGGAACCAAACCTTTTCTGTCTCAAATTCTAACCGAATTCGATGTGCAATCGCTCTCCACCTTTTGTTGTACCTGGATTCCAGTTAGCTAAACAGCATCAATCGTCGATAATAGGATATAAAATGCCGATAAGAACGATGTTTATGGCCTAACTGAGGCGGGATTGTCGAACTTTCGCAACTTCGGAACTGTTTGGGTTTTGTCCGTTTAATTGGCATTATATTCACGAAAAAAATTACCAAAACACTAACTATTTGATGCAAATACTTATCTGGTCGTGAGGGAAAAACATTCTGTTTCTTCCACCCATAATGAGAAACCACATGTTTTTTTTCAGAACATGACTTTTGGAAGCCACGGCCCTGGATCGGTGCTAGGCGCTTCTTCGATCTTGCGGCATCGCTCAGACAGCATTGGCGGACCGTCTAGCATGCTTTTGGGCTCGCAGCAGCACCCACGTATGTTTTTAGTTTTGCGGTGATACATAACCCATTTTTCCAGATCTCAACTCTCAAATGGCTGGCTCGTCGCTGGGCGGCTTCACGCCGATGACGAACGAGCGTGCCGGCGGCCCCCCAAGTAACATGAACATGAACATCAACCTCAGCCACCTTGTGCACAACCCGCCGAGCGTCAGCGCAAATCCTGGATCGGTGCAGCCATTCGTACGTCCTTTCCACGGCGTCTAATGAAAAATTTTCTTGCAGGACATTATGAACCCGCAATCGGTGCCCCAGAATCTGATCGTCCCAATGACGCCGCTGAACGTGCACGACCAGCAGATGCGGTTAACAACTTTCTATCACGTTTTCTATCCAATCGTTTAGCGAAATGAACAAACCGCATAACCCGCCCAGCATAATGCAGATCGTGCCGCAGACGCCGTCTTCGGTCCATGACGTCCCCATGCCCACCCTACAAAACATTGTCAGCACGGTGAATTTGGGTAAGAAACTTTGGAAAATTATCAAATTTCCCTATTTCAAGGCGTTCAACTCGACCTGAAAAAGATTGCTCTGCACGCACGTAATGCCGAATATAACCCGAAACGTTTCGCGGCCGTCATCATGAGGATCAGGTAGCATTTGATCACTTTTTAGACGTTTTTTTACAGGGAACCCCGCACAACCGCCCTCATCTTTTCTTCCGGGAAAATGGTGTGCACTGGCGCAAAAAGCGAAGAAGCTAGCCGGTTTGCAATCATTTTTTGAGCACTTGATGGATGATTTAGGCTTGCGGCTAGAAAATACGCTCGCATCGTTCAGAAGCTGGGATTTGACGCCAAGTTCACGGAATTTAAGGTAGTTTTACTCTGGCGGCATGGATATGACTTATTACACTTCAAAAACTTGACAACTAGCCAATTTTATCATTTATGCTTTACCTAACGTTTTTTAGTAATATTAGAGTTGTTATACTTTGTAAACTAGGTTTCCCCGCATATTATGCATTTCTAGGTTCAAAACATGGTCGGATCTTGTGATGTGCGGTTCCCGATCCAGCTCGAGGGCCTTTGTCTAACCCATGCCCAATTCACGACCTACGAGCCCGAGCTCTTTCCGGGTCTCATCTATCGAATGGTGAAGCCGCGTGTCGTCTTGCTGATCTTCGTGTCTGGAAAGGTACATTTTTACTGGCTTTTGCACGGAGTGCTTCAAAAAAATATAATATCGACATTCGGCATATAATCCCAAAATCATCGTTAGGGAAATAGACACGAGTCAATCCAATCCCCTGTCCCCCATAACCTTCAACATTCAGGTGGTCATAACCGGCGCTAAATTCAAAAAGGATATCGATGGTGCATTCTCGCAGATTTACCCCCTGCTGAAAAGTTTTAAAAAATAGGCACGCCCGCTTAAAAAGTGGTGCAGATAAGTTTGTCGTTTTCCTCTATATATGTTGCAATTTTTGTGATAGATGCTGCAACAAATTGTTGACTTCTTTATTTTATTACGGGTTGTGAATTCGTATTATTTTTGTATGCAGAGCGTTAATAAAGTGAGCGTGGGTGTAAACGAAGTGCGACAAGGGATTTCGCAGCAACATCTGATTTTCCACTGGAATTCCGGGATACAGACAAACGCGTTAGTTCGTTGTGGAGCTTAGTGCTGAACTGAAAAACAAGTATTTTTCTTTTCGTTATAATTTTTCTACAAGCACGCGAGGACGTGTTTCTGCACTGTTTTGACTATTCGGAACAGCAAACCCTGGAAATTTTGGGTTTTTGAGCGTTAAATATCGATTTTTAGGCAAAATTTTGAAATTTCAAATTGTTTTCTAAGCATTTTTTCTTCTAGATCGATGAACAACACTGTTAAAATACGTCCAAATTGTTTGATAGGCATTTCTGGACTTGGGAAGACATTTTTAATTTAATTCTTTTGATGATTTGATTAGGTTAGACTATTTTCTAGAATCGATACCCTCCGTCGACTAGGCTTCATCAGCTGCTCTACTTGGTCAAATATGACGCCCCTGCAGCGCGTTTGAGCACGGCTACGAGCTGTCGAGGCCTAGTCGACGAACGGGGCGATTCTTGCACTTCCTATCCCCTTTAATCCCGTCATAATTCATAGATTTGTATTTTTATTGCCAACTCCTACATCCCTTTCCTTTTAGATCGTACTAACCGGCGCCAAGTCGTACGAGGACATGTTGCAAGCCATAAAATTGGTACACCCGATCGTGCTGAGCTGCATGAAGCGCTAATACGACATGAAGCATCTATCTTTCTTTAGCTTTCCCCCCACAATATTCTCGTTTGTTGTGTTGCCTGTTGACATTCAATAAAGTTTATTTGATAGGAATAGAGACGTTAGCTACGTAAACAATTTCTACATTTGTTTTTTTATCCGATTTGTGGGTTGTTTAGAATAGAAATAACCGGGAATGGGGGTAGTCGTCATCGGATTGGATTCGGGGTCAACGGGTGTATTAGTTTTTGTGTGGGTTCACGGGATGGGGAAAGGGTTGGAATTTGAAAATGGGTGCTGGTTCGTTGACGGGGGGATTGTAATGGAATTACGCTTTTTAGATATTTGCAAAAATTATTACAACTATCAAAATATTTTTGGATTATGGCAATCGGAAACTGATAAAAAGACGGAATATTTTATGTTCTAATTCTTTTAGTCCCCCCTCCGCTAACGAACCAGCAACCCGAACAGGTTATCTATTTCCCTTTCCAAACCTTGGATAATCTAGTGGAGCACAAATTCCGGGAATTATACAAGAGACCCTGTCATCGTCGAGTAGCATAACCAGGGGAGAAGCGCCGGCTAGATAAAGCAAAAAAAAATAATTTTAGTTTTTTTTAGAAGCAGATAAAAGGTTCAAAACAGTGCCTGGATGAGATTAGAAACACGAGATTTGCGGGGAATGAAAAACGGGACATTTTGACGATTTAACAAAACTAGTGGGCGGTGGTGGAGACTCGATGGTATCCATCCCCATCGACGTGCACACTGGCCAACAGCTTGTCCTCGTCCACTAAAGCGTAATTTTGAAATAGATCGATATTTTTATAGACTACGGCCGTGCACACGTTCATATCGAAATGATGGATGCGGGAGGCCATTGCGGGGTTTTCAGGAAACGAAGCCGTTCTCGCTGACGATGATTTCACATGCCAAACCTTTATATGTGCGCGTTTACTGAGCCGCCGGCGTCGATCGAACCTATTTAATGACCCGGCAATGATTTTTAGCTTGAAGAGCGCTTATGGCTGTAGTAGCTTTCTGCAGTATGGACCAAAAAGGTGAATCTTTGGTACTGGAATGTTAGCGGGGGATTGGGGGTAACTAATGAAATTTAGCATTTAAAAAATTATTAGACCAAAGTTAAAAATGTTCGGACATTTAATATGTTTTTATTGCCAATTACTGTATGAACTAGCAATAAAAAGCTTATATTTCATTCCAGGGCCTTACGGGATTACTTGGAAATTGGTCCCCTCGCTAAGAGTCCAGTGCCGAACCTTCTAGCGCTTCTATACAAGCCCCCCCACCGAATGGATGCCGGAGAGACAGTCTCCTCTCGGCGTCATGCTCCTTCAGATCCTTCTCAACATAGTGGTACACGATCCCGGCGCCGAACGCATCTCCCAGCACGTTGATTGACGTGCGGATTCGATCTCTAAAACCGAGAACCCCATTTGTTGTGTGCTTTTTTTAGCTTACAGCATCCAGTCAACAGCGACGATGAGCATCACATCGGAGACGGGCAACCCGACGGCGGTGAGCACGAGAAGCATTGTGACGAGACCGGCCGATGGGACCGAGGCAGCGCCAATCGAGGCGAGTGTTGCCGTCAAACTGCGTCGAGGTTTGCTGGTTTGTATGTTCAGTCTACCTGACGGTGACCACCTGCACGAAACTCAGGTTGACGCCGTTCACCTGGGCGATGAAGATCGCCGCCACAGCTTCGTAGAGGGCCGTGCCGTCCTGGAAAAGGACACATTTTTTGGTGCGCAAGAAGTTTTGGGTACTGGGCTATTAGCAGGGTAGGCTAAATTTATATTTTCTAGACTATTTTCTATGTTCTATGGGTTTTTATAGCATTTTCAGTAGCTTTTGATTGCTAAAGACCGCTAAAAATATTTTTTAAACTTTGAAAATTTAACCGTCTTTGTCTTTTACTGCATTTTTTACCAAAAAGTCAAGAATTTTCGAAAATTTTTCTATTATTTTATCAGTTTTTTATCTAAAAACTAGGTATAAAGAATTAAAATTATAAGTATTTCGTCAACTTGGAAAAATCTCCCCCCCCCCCCCCTGCTAAATCCTCCACCCCTGCTAACAGTCCAGTACCGATTAGACTTCTAAAACGCCCCAGACTTCCTAAAAATTATATAGCCAATACGCCAAAGCTTTGAAGAAGTTTCATGGAAGCACTAACCATGTTGATCGTGGCGCCGACGGGAAGCACAAAACGAGTCACCCTGCGATCCACGCCCAGATTCTCCTCCAGACACTTGTAGGTGATGGGCAGCGTGGCCGAGCTAAATCGCTTTATCAAATTATCAAAACATTCGACTCTCAGCTTTTGATGAAAAAGTAAAAAGGCTTGTCACGGCCGGGGGTCGAACCCCGGCGGCAAGCTAACACAAAACCAATGAGCCACGAGGCCGGGGGACGTCTAGCAAAAACAGGCTCTTTTCTCCCAGACAAATCTTATCCACGCTTTAGGAAACAGACCCTGTTATAGCGTGCACCGATAACCGATAAAATTGGAAGCTGACGATGATGAAGGTTCTTTAATAAGATACCTTGACGCCGTGCCGAGAGCGGTCACCCAGGCTTGTGCAAGCCCCTTCATGAACGTGTATGGGTTCTTGCGGGTGAACACGAAGAACACGATCGGCAATGTGATCAACGAGTGGATGGCGAGGCCTGGATTGGTCTAGGTTCTTGCCCATTATCGGGGCGGGGAGGGGGGGGGGTATTTTCTAAGGGGCTAAATTTTTCATACAAAAAAGAGTAAGTGTTTCAAAACTATTTTTACTATTCCTAACCGCAAAAACTTTATAAATTTCGATTAAAATATACAAAAATACCGATTTTTCGACCAAATTTTCGCGTAAAATTTTTCCGAGCTGTTTTTATTGTTTCCCCTTAATATATCCTTGATTTATTAAAAACCCTATGCCGTTACTAGGCACTTCTCGACTTCTAGGAAAAGTAGCCCCCCCCCCCGATAATGCAAAAGAGCATTTTTCGCCCTTAAACCAACCGCTAATAACAGTGATCATATACATGGCCAACATTCTCGCCGCGTCGCCAATATTCGGGATCTCGAGAATCCTGTTGACGATCAGGCAGAAGATACCAATTGGTGAGTACCTAATTAAATTTTTAGGTTTGAATTTCAAAGTATTTTCTACCACATGACAGCCATGACGAGTTTCATGATGACCTTGTCGAGGATGACGAAAAATTGGATCATCACATTCGCCTCTTCGCCCATTTGTGACAACACGATGCCGACGGCTATGCAGAAGACGATCACGCCCAACACGTTCATTCCCGGAATATATTCGATCGTGGCCACCATGTTGCTCGCTTTGTTGATTTCCTAAAATTTTAATTAGGAAATTTTGGTTTTAATTATCATAGATAAACGCCAAAAATATTAGCAAGCACGTTTTGACTCACCTTTCCCTGCCCCTATACAAATTTTGAAGGCTGAATTGAGAAATATAGGAAAAATTTATGAAAATCTGAAGGGAAACGCATCCCGAAAGCCAAAATCCCGACATACAAAATAGCCGTTTAAAGGGAAGCGCCATCCCAACTATCATCAAGACTTTTTCGGGATTTTGTCTCGATAAAATCTCGGATTTTGGGGTACTGGTTCGTTAGCGGGGGGAACTAAGGTTTTCCAAGGTTCGGAAATGCGCTCTAAAATGAAATGTAAACTGTTTGAATCCCCATTTACGTCCTTTTAAATTAAAAAACTGCGAAAAATTAAAACATCTCAGGAAAATTGGCCAAAAATCTACAAAAAATTTGACCTAGGAGATATTGGAGCCCCCCCCCGCTAACGAACCATTATCGGATTTGGTATGCAGTCGTAAAGTAATTTTTGCCAAAACTAACCTCTATAGATCTTGTATCGTTCGTCCGCACGAGGTCCACCTTCTTGGCCACGTATTTCGTCTGGGCTTGTTCGAATGTGGCTTGGACAATGTTTTCGGGGAATGTATTTCGGACGAGGTCGAGCATCGTGTCGAGGGTTGAGACTGGAAACTTTACATTACAGTGTTACGATAATTTTTAGACCACGGTGAGCCTAACTGAAAATTTGCGAAAAATCTAAAATTCTGGTCGAGAAATTGATTTTTGCTTTATTTATTAGCTTCTAAGTTTTTTGCTATGAATAAAAAAGTTTAGAAAAGCTTCCCCTATGTTTAAGAAACAAACCATTCTTTCCGGCCCTGCCGGTTCCGATTTCCTGCTTGATCGATGGGTCGCCGGGGTGGATGGTGAGCACGAGGATGATACCCGTCTGAAATTGGAACATTTTCCTAGAAATAAGAAACAATTTAAATTCCAAGGAAAGCCGTTTTAAAAACGCACAATGACGGCGAGCACTGTGGTGGCAATGTAGTACGTGACGGCCAACGAGCCCATTTTGCTGGATTGGCGGGCGTCGAGCTGGGATAAGCCTAGAATTAGGTAAGTGCCTACAAAATCAACGTTTCATTACGATTTTAAGATCCCTAAACGCCAAAACTTTACAAATTTTGTTAAAAATATCAAAAACCAGATGGTTACAGTCGCTTCGCGATTGCAACCATCTGGCCTTCGGGTTACCCTACATGTCCCACTCCACCACATCCTTTCCCACCTCCATCAATACCCCCGATAGCCGAAATCCCCTTCAAAAACTACCTAAATACCTTCCCGATGGCTTCAGATACCCCCCCTAGCCGAAATCCCCTTAAAAAACGAAAATAACGACCGACCGGATGGAATTAGAGAAAAAAGAAATGAAATCCCCCGTGAAAATTTTCATCCACGAAACGCGCGCGACCTGGCTCACTATGTCCAAAATCACCCCAACCTCCGTCCCCCACCCCTTTTACTAAGGAAAAAAAACTTTCAAAGTTAATTTTAATAATTTAAACTAAAACTTTTTCATAATTTTTTTATCAGTTTGGGGGTTTCTGATGGCGATCCGAATCCGAAGAGAGCTAAGCTCTAGCTCCTTTCCCCTTCGAGTTGAATTCGGCTTCGGACAGACAGACGGACAGACAGACGCGTCAAGAAAATTATTATAGTGGATATCGATTTTTCGACCAGTACGGTCGATTTTTTTACCAAAATTTGTCTTTTTCAAAACGTTTTAATGTTTTTGGTAGTTTTTAGTGGCATTTTTCGGGCTCTGGAAGCTCAAAAACGTACCCGAGATGAGCGAGGACATGATCAACGGCAAGATCATCATCTTCAACATGCGCATCAGTACCTCTCCCGGGAAGCCGACCACCATTTTGTCCTGAAAACATATTTTTGTACAATTTTTAGGTGGCGTTTTTCTCCCATATAATTTTTTCGGTGCTGTTACAGGGGCGGGGGGGGGGTTTTAGTAATAGGAAAACCATTTTTAACAATTTTCCTATTTCAACCATTTACACAGTTTTTAGATATAAAAGGCTCATCAAACATTACAGAAAATTTTTGAAATTTTCGATTTTGTAAAAATTTATGAAAAATGACCATTGAAACATCAAAATTTTCGAAAAAATCTTGAAGATCTTTTTTAAAACTTTCTAGCGATCAAAAACTACTAAACCGTAGAAAAATATTGGTTATGAAGAGTTAGGTGTAGACGGAAAAATAACAATTATCCCCCCTGCTAACAGACAAGCACCCGTTTTTCTCTCATATTTTTCTGTTGCTGTTCCAGGTGTTGACCAAAGCTGTGGCGTTATTGTTTTTTTACCCCCAGTTCCCCATCTCCCAAACAGCCGTTTTTCCGGTGATGATGGGTTAGGGGGTTGAAGGGAAGGGCGAAGGGCCCTCCCTCCTTCCGCCAAAATGCCATCATCATCACGGCCCGCTTGGTGGTGAGGGCCAACCAAATCCACAAATCTGATTCGGCTGGGCCCTCGGCGGCGTGATGGGCCCCCAGTAGAAGCGCGAGAAAATGGGCACAACCCGGGAATATGGCCGCAAAGCGGATGTGACGAATTTTGGGGCCACGAGTTTAGGAAGATGCGACTTCTAACCTGGGCATCCAGATTCAGGTTCCGGGCGAGGAAGCCGGCGACGATGCCGAGCACGACGGAGCCTGGAAAAGTCGAAAAATAGGGTGCTTTTCACCCATGAATCAATTTTTCTTAGAAAATCGAGAAAATCTTGTGAAAAAAACGTGTTTTCTACTATTCCAAAGCGCAATCCCCTCTCAAATTTTTCCTAAAAAAGTACAAAAATATCGATTTTTCCGCCCGAATTTCGAATTTTAAATAGTTTTTCAATAGGAGTGTTGCCACTTGAAATGTGGCTAAAAGTTAGAAGGCTGGTTTTGTGCGTGAAAACCTTCGAAATTCTTCTAAAAAAACACAAAAATATCGATTTTTCCAGCAAGCATGCCGATTTTGATCAAAATTTCGAACTTTCAATGGTTTTTGAATAGTCTTTTTGCCTGAAATATGGTTGAAATTTGACTAAAAACGTTTTAGAAATAATTGGTCGTACAAAAATTAGCTCCCCCCGATAACGCAAAAGAACCTTTTAAAGCTGCCATAAAATACCCACCAACTGTAAGGATGAGGAGGAGATGCTTCCAGAAGAAATTGCCCATTTTGGCCAATTTCAACGACATCTCTACCCGAAAGCTGCTTGCCCCGGCGTCGTCTCCGGGCTCTGAAAAATAAATAAATAGAAGGATTAATAGAGTATTTAAGGCAAAACATAAAAAATTACTGCAGTAAACCTGAAAAAAAGCCAATTTAAAAAAGAAAACAATGATCGACGGTGCTTTCGCATTATCGGGGGAACCAAGTTTTTCTAATATAAATAGAGGACGTATTTCTACATCGTTTTTTTGCTATTTTAAACGCAAAAATCATACAAATTGCAATAATAAAGTTGGAATAATAAAAAAAACCGATTTTCGACCAAAATTTCACCAGAAAAATTCATTTTTTCCAGACAACTTTCTCGACTTCTAGGGAAAAGCCCCCCTCCCCTCCCCATAATACGAAAGAACCAAAAACTGCCCCCCCCCCGATAATGGAAAAGAACATGGGCATTGTTTCCAGGGTCGCAAAATCTCAAAACAAATCCCCGTCTCTTGGCAATGTTTGCGGAGGCCCCAGAAAAGAAAAACGGCGCGCAATTTGGGTAGAAAAATGAGAGCTCCGGTTCGCGAGCACGAGGAGCACTAATTTGGCATCGGGTATTTATTATAGGTGGAGGAGGAGAAGCGGGCGATGCTTGATTTCACAAAGTGCAAGCCCCCCGAGCATCGTTGGGGGAATCCCCCGGGCAAAAAAAAATGGGAAAAATCGTAGCCATTTTTTTTCGCGGGGCGCCCCCGTAGACTGTGTTTACATGATGCGCGTCTTCTTCAGACCGGAGAAGGGTCCGTTGTTTATAAGCCGGCAAAATAGTGAGGTTAGAAAAATGTTTGAATTCCGGCAGAAGCCTTGTGTTGCCAAGTCCTTTAAAATCTACGCAACCGGGGGCATCAAAATTTTACACTGCCCACGTTGTCGAGAAATTTACGCTGAATCCGAAAATGCTGTCAGAATTGGGGGAAAAGCCATGTATTTGTATTTTATAAAAAAAAACTTTTTTTTGGGTAAAAAGAATTCCGCTACCAAAACCGCGGTGCTTTTCCATTAACGGGGGGAGGATTTTTCTATTTTAGAATCTGATTTTGCTACCAAAAATAGAGAACGTGCTTTGAAATCGTTTATTTGCTATTCTTCAGCGCAAAAACTTTACAAAATAACCCTAAAAAACTTTAAAGATACAAAAAATGGTGAGTTCGAGCGAAACTGAGAAATTTTATTAGGTTTCAGATAGGTTTCCCACTGGGATATAGTTAAATTTACTAAAAACAGTAATTTTACTGTATAAGCACTATTCCCCCCCCCCCCCCCCGATAACAGTCCAGTACCAAACAGAAGGACTTTTGAAAATTTAAAAATGCCGCAGCGAGGGTTTTTGCAGTTGTTTAGTGGTTATATCTGTCTTTTGTGTGTGTGTGCGGGATGGGTCTCGTATTGTGGCGACAGTTGTCCAGCAGCAGCCTATATATACTCATAGACTGGGCCACTGGGCCCTCTAGCACAGGGCCCGATCACTGAAAAGGGCCACAGGGCCACACAACTCTCCCATGTACGCCAATTTGTCCCTCCAAATCCACGCGGTGCGATTGATTAAAACCGACGGCCGGCAAAAAGGCGGAAAAATGAAAAATGGCTGCCAAATTGATGGCGATATGAAATGTGTCGCTAGCGGCGCCGTTTTTATTGCGTCGTTTGTACAAATGTGGAAAATGGGGGTATTTCCGCTTGTTGATTCGTAACGTCAGCGCTAGAAATAGAGCTTGTGGGCCTTTTCCACTATCGGGGGGCATTGAATTTTTCCTAGAAGTCCAGAAACGCCTAGTACGTATCGGTAATCATTTTAATAGTGTCGGACTTAAGATTTAGCTACATGGGAAAAATTATCTAAAACCTTTTTAAAAATTCGAAATTTAGTCGAAAATCGTCTTTTTTTGACCAAAAAAAAAATCTATATTTTTTGTAGATTACGTGGCAATTTGTAAAGTTCTTACGTTTAGATATTGTAAAAACAACTTAGAAACACTTCCTGAGTTATATGAGCAATTCGGATCCTAAGGAAAAAGTTGAACCCCCCCGATAATGCACAAACACAAGTATTTTTACTCGCAAAATCTGGCATTCTACACCAGTGAACAGTGCGAGTCATAGAAGTTGACCAATAAACTAGCAAAAAATATCGACAGCCGTTCCACCAATTGCGTTTCAAAAGAGAGCGGAAATCGGAACGACGGCTGGAATGGCTGGGAAGAGAAAAACAGGAATTACCCACGGATTGGGTTACTAATGATGCGTCGGAAAAGCCCTAAAAAAGCTAAAACAAGACAGTATAAATTAAACATTAAAAAGGTTACATAAAAACTATTAAAGACAGTAGTTTAAATTTTAGAGCTTTATCAACATCCAAAAAAACTTGATCGCCTTAAAAAGCCGAAGTGAGAGGAGGTTGCTGATTTAGCCAATTACGCAGCACGTTGGCTCGGTTTCTTCGAAAAGACAAGAGATTCTGGTTCTTTGGCGTTATCGGGGGGTCTCAGGAGCGCCTAATTTTTTCTATATGTCCAGAAATGGGTATGAAAAGGTGTTAATCGTAGTTAACTAGTAAATTTAACGATATTTCAAGTAGAAAAACACTCCAGAACCCGAGAAAATTTCGAAAAAATTCCAGGAAAAAGGAATTTTGTGCATTTTTTGATAAAATTTGTAAAGTTTTTAGGATTGGAATAAAAAACCTGTGAGAAACGCGTCTTCTATTTGTATCAGAAAATTGGGCAATAAAGGAAAAAGTTGGTTCTCCCCCTCGATAATGCAAAAGCATCTAGCCCCTAGCAAACTGATAATTCTAACTAGCGACTCGTACCTTTCAAGAAACTAGGAAGACAAAAATCGAACCTTTCCCTTCCCCCCAACTACAGTTCACACCAAAATGACGTCCCCTAAAAAGCGGAAAGTCGACCGGAGTCGGTAATTGAATGCATTTTCGGTCTCTCGGTGTGACCGGTCCTAAAATTGGATTTGTCTCATTTTTGTAACTCTCCGAAAATGACCTCGGTTGCACATTAGTGAAATGAGCGTGGGGAACACGGTTCGATGGGCCCGAGGTCGGTTACGCACAAAAAAATGGGGAAAACGCGAATGGTTGGGTCAGGGAAAAGGGGCATCTTTTAGGGGGGAAGGGCGGGGAGATGATGATCTATCTTTTGAGGTGAGCCATGGCCACATCTAATCGTCAAAAGAGAATGGTTCTCTGGGGGTTGATCAGGATGAATGATTGCCATTCCGGTAGTATTGATGGAATTTTGAGGAGGGTGGGAAAGGAAAAGGGTTATCAATCGGAAAACGTCAAAAATTGTTTTCAGCACTGTTTGTGGTTCTTTTCCATTATCGGGGGAGGGCTCCCCCTGTAGGCCCAGGAATTCCTATTAACAACAGCAAAAGTAGTACTACCGCCACTAAATTAGCCATATTTCAACTCTAAAAACCACTTAGAATCCTGAAATCCAGACATTTTTTTGTCTCTTTTGCAGTATCGGTGGGGGTCATTCTATCCTGGTTTTTTCCGATAAGTTCATAAATGCCTTGTCCGGTTTTAATATAAGTATTTTAATAGCGTTTTGGTAAATTTAGCTAGCTTTGCAAGTTCAAAAACTGCTTAGAAAACCTGTAAAATGCTTTATATTTTCGGTTCTTCTTCATTAGCGGGGGGGGGGGGGTACCAGGGGGTTTCCTCGGAAAAGCCCCCCCCCCGATAGTGCTAAAGTACCCAAAAACCACCTACAACGTAGTGAACCCAGATAGCACTCGCCCCAAATTGCAACCCGATGAATTGAGGGGCTTTTCCCTCGCGCTGGACCAAAGATTTGAGGCCCGGGGCCGTTCGTCTCGGCGCCATGAAGCGGATGGGATTCCCTCCCTTTTGGGCCTCCTTTTTGGGGCCCAATTAGGGCCGAAGAAGCGCTGATGGACAAGGGGTATTGTGCGAGAATTAGAGAAGCAAAAGGAGCAACAGCTTATGAGCTAACGCGTTGAAATTCGGGTTTTGGTTCGTTAGCGGGGGGAGAAGTTATCTACCTTTATTCCGGCGAGAGAGAGAGAGAGAGTGAGAGAGAGTGGGAGAGAGCGAGAGCGAGAGAGCAGGAGAGAGAGAGAGGGCGAGAGAGGGGGCGAGAGCGAGAGCGAGAGCGAGAGAGTGGGAGAGAGAGAGTGTGCGAGATGGGGGGAGATAGAGAGAGAGAGAGAGAGAGAGCGAGCGAGAGCGAGAGAGTGGGAGAGAGAGTGGGAGAGAGAGAGAGAGAGTGGGCGAAATAGGGGGATAGAGAGAGAGAGAGAGAGAGAGAGAGAGAGAGAGAGAATGAGAGAATGAGAGAATGAGAGAGCGAGAGAGCAAAACAGAGACAGGAAAAATGATAGAGAGAGAGAGCGAGAGAGAGAACGAGAGAGAGGCAGGGAAACCTATTTTTCTTCTCAACGCCTGCTTATCCCCCCGCTACGCAACCAGAACGAAATATTTTATATTGCGTTATTAGACGCCCCCCGATAATGCCAAAGTACCAGTAAACCCCTAAAAATGACGGCCAGAAAATGCGGAGGTGTCTAAAAATCCCTAAAAATTGGGGGTGAAAATGCTACGTCTTTCGCGCCTCGTTTTGGCCATTCAAAGGCCCGAAAAAAGGGGGAGGATGGGTAAAGTGAGCCGGAGCGGGGGAGAAAGAGACGAGCCAGCAATACTCGCCGGGGTCCCATCATCCATTTCACGCCAAAATGCGATTGACGCGCCGCCAAGGTCGAGTCCCGGACCCCGCAGCACTCTCAGATCGAGTGGCCTGTCTACTCCACGTTAAACTATGTATCTGGTAGTACTTTAATAAATATGGATCTCTTGCATTATCGGGGGGGGGGGGAGCAACGTTTCCCTTAGGACCCCTTCCCTTAAATTTTTATGAAGAAATTAAAAAAAAACCGATTTTTCGACAAAACTTACTACATTTTGTAAAAACACTGAAAAATATTCATAATTAAACATTTTTAAGAAATTCTGAATGAATTTTATGAAAACTACAGACCTCACTTCTCTTCAAAACTTCAGATACGTTTCTAGGCATTTGGACCTGCGAAAAAACTTAGCCCCCCCGCCCCCCCCCCCCGATAATGCGAAAGAGCACGATTTAGCTACAGTAAAAATGTCCGCCATTAATATAGCTTTTTAAACCGTTAGAAAATGCCGAAACTTGATAAAAATTATGAAGATTTCGAAATTTTTCGATTTTTGACGATCTATGAAAAATTCAAATTCTTCAAATTGTTCGCGTTTTGGCCTGTTTTTAATAATAAAGAAAATAAGAACAACCTTAAAATTAAAACTAGCACCAAAAAACCCAAAAAAAATTGCTAGGGAGGGTTAGCTAGCCCCCCCCCGCTAACAGCCCAGTACCACAAAACTCTCGGCGGACCATCAGAGGGGCGATTTTCGGCGGCTCCCATGACCGATGAATAATCGGATGCTCTGGGAATGGCCATGGGAAAAAGTAGCCGAAAAGATCGGGCCGAATCAAATGCTCGCCTCTACCAGGACAAAGCCCCAACCCCGCGCACCCTCAAAATCCCCCTTGGCAGCCAGGCAATCCGATTTTCAGAGCTGCGAGAAAAGTTGCGCCCCCCGTCGGCCCTCAAAAAATGCATATTCAGGCCGAAATATTGGTGGGAGGAGAGCGAGAGATCGATTTTAGGGAAAACGAAAAATACGAAAATCGGTGAGATATTCTTACTGAGACTAGACGTGCCTAGTAAGGTACTAGAAAGTACTTTAATAAAGTTTTTGCAAAATAAAAACGAAAAACCGGTATTTCATAACAATTTGCACAGTTATCTCTTTAGGAATAGTTTCGTGTTTTGCATCAGAAAACGGGATCTTACGGATACTAGGGTGCCGCTCCCCCCGATACTGGAAAAGCACCCATTTCCGAAATACGCTTATTTCCAAAAGCCGACCGGACAGGCCGAAAACGAGGATCGTCCTGGCTGAAAAGCCGGGGCCATACAAGCTATTGGCCCGAATGCATAAGCCATCCAATTTCCCCCTCGTTATATCGTACAGTCACTATAGAATCGCGGGGACCCATTTGATGATGGGAACGGGGGGATGGGACAGGAAAAGCCGCACGTTCAAATCAAGTGTGTGAATCGGCGGGAAAAAGACCTCGGCGCGATGCCAAGCCCGCGAAAAGTTTAATTAAGGGCATCGGCACGGGTTAAAAACGGGACAAGACCGCGGAAAATCTAACAAACACAAATAATCAAGGTGTACAGAGTAGCGAAACGTACTGGCGATTCTTGAAACGTTTAAAGGAAAAAGAAGTCCACCCGGTATGAAAAAGTGCCTAGTTTTCACTTCTTAACAACGCTATTATCTCTGAAAAGCTTTGAAAAAAATGTCGAAAACGTTTGCCGAAAATGTCGAAAAATGCGCGAGGAGAATTCAAAAAATCCAAAAAATCACCTGCCTCAACAAAAAAAATTTCCCCTACCTATTTCCACTCCAAAATCATGAAAAGGACCGCGGCCACAAATACAGCTGCATTAAACAGGGGCAAAACAAGGGAGTGCGATAGTAGAGATGGGGGGTAGAAGACACACAGACAGACAGACAGACAGGAAGAATACATCCATGATCCCATCCCGATAAAACAAACTGATGGCAATGGGAAGGGGAAGGGGAGTAGACACGGGCTTTTTCTACCCCCCGTGTCCCGCTCCTCCTTCTCGACAATATTTGTTTTTTGCCCGGGGATTCCCCCGGCTCGATGGCCAAAATGAAAAGTGAAGAGCCGATGGAAGGGGACGGCGAATCAAAGGCCACACAAGCACATTTACTGAAGCAATTTTTGGCACTGGACTGTTAGCGGGGGATGAAAAGTTTACAGTAATCCCGTACACATCGATAAAAAATACCACCGAATTTTTTATAGCTGTTTACAACGTTTTTAGATACAAAAAATGCATAAAAAGTACAAGAATCTTCGAAAATGTTTGATGTTTCGTCAAAATTGCATATAAGATTATCAAAAATGGCAAATTTTTGTAAATTCCGAGCAATCTAAAACTATGAAAAACCCTATATAGGCGAAAAATAAAAAGTAGCCCCCTCCCCCGCTAGCAATCCAGCACCGAATTTTTCGAAAAGCCGCTACAAGCTTAGCTTGTAAGGCCTTTTTCACCTAAAAGCCGTAGAAAAACTAGGTTGATATCATAACGAGATTTTCAAGCCAAAAATTCCGCACGAGACAACGCGACGCGCCAAATTACGGTATCCATGAGCGGTGTGATCGGGGGCCCCGGGCCCAGTCAGCCGGCACAAAACGCGCCCCGGCATCCGATGATCGGCAATCCCGAAATCGCGGCGACAGCCCTCAATTTTTTGCGGGCAACGGCGGGGTACGTCTGGCTAGACGAGTACGGGTACGCATCACCCCCAAATAATGCCTGCAAAAGCGAGGGCGAGCCGCTGGAGAACTGACGGCCGTCGGGGGTTTTTTTTGCGTTGTCTAGGTCGTTGAAAAAGTCGAAAAAAGCGTTGTTCTCCATTATCGGGGGAGGTGGCATTAAAGGGGGCAAATTCTTACCTTATTATTGAGTTTTTCTAATCCTAGTTTACTTCGAACCTCCAAAAACCATCGACTCTTCGATGAAATTTTCAAAAATTTGAAACTTTTTGCAGTTTGTTAGATAATTTTCCGTCTTCCAACCCCTTTCAGCAAAGATGGAAAGTATTTATAAACTGTTTTTACTACTCATAAACGTAAAAATCCTTTACTTCAAAAATCCAAAAAATGATAGGTTTTTCGGTGAAAATTTGAAATTTTAAACGTTTTTTAAGTTTTCCCTTTAAAGAATTTTATAGCTTACCAAAAAAAATTAGTAAAATATCTGATATTAGGTTACTCGGCATTTCTGTAAATATGCAACCCCCCGATAAGGCAAAAGAGCCTCCAGTCAGGCGAAAATCCCAAAAAGGAGTCCCAAAACCGATTAAAATAGACTAATTTACATCCTGGTCCAAAACTTCAGCCAAAATTACGCAAATCATACCTCGAACGCCCAGCAAACCGCCGGCCACCATGAAACAATTGGTGCTCGTCGTCGCCCTAGCTTTGCTGTGGGTTTTCTTGATTCTTGCACGGCATCAGCTCTAAAAAAACATAACGAAAATATACACAACAAACTCGAGGCGTTCAGTTGTACATCAGTTGGTTGGGCGCAGCTGCTGTCGCCGTCACCGCCCGCCAACCCGAAGAACGACGTGTTGAAGGTGAACGACATGCAAGCCGTCCCAGTTCGCATTGGTGTCGGGCGCATAAGCGATTGGAACAACCCTGATGTTCGTCTACTGGCCCGTCTCGCCGTCGCCATTGTTCAGAAGAAGCTCGCCCGGGGAACACCCTTCGAGAAGATTGGCTACTACAAGGGCCGCGGCGTCAACCATGTCGACATGAAATTCGTGGGGAATTTGAGAAGACTCTTTGGAGCTTTGGCGTTATCGGGGGGGGGACAGAATTGTAAATGTTTCCAAACGGTTCTTGCTATCCTTTACGTAAAAACTGTCCTAAATTATCAAAAAAAAAACACGGAAAGATACATTTTTCGGCACTGGACTGTTAGCAGGGGGGAACTATATCTTTTACAGCGTTATAACAAAACATAAACCATTTCTATATCATTTTGCACAGTTTTTAGTGCTAAAAAGTTCCGAAAATTTTGACTTTTCGCCAAAATTGTATGAAAAATGACCAATCAGGCAAATTTTTAGTTTTCATAAATTTTTGGAACATTTTTGTAGCTTTCTAGCAAGCAAAAACCGCTAAGAACAATATAAAAATACACTATTATTAACAGGTAGGAGGTATAGGCGGAAAAAAACGAAAATTTGTTTACCCCCCCCGCTAACAGTCCAGTCCCGATTTTTTGACAAAATAGGCAAATTTTTTCGCGCTGTTAGATAGTGTGTTTTCCACTACGGTGTTACTAAGAACGGCACTAGGCATAGCTAAACTTTTTGCCTCCCCCCCCCCGGTAATGCGACAGAACCAACGTTTCGTTTTCAGCCTGACCCGAAGCACTTGGCGCCAGTGATCGACCGCAAACAAACATACATCGATAGCAAGAAAGAGGGCAGGGTAACGGCGATCTTCCCGACGGTCACCTTGCCCGCGGGCCTCACTCCACCACCGCCCAGAGCCTCATCATCACCAGCACCGCCACCATCGTCCCAACAACCGCCGAATCGCGACTAGCCGCCCGAAACCTCGAAGCCCATTAACCGAGCGCGGAGCGCCGTTCTGTTTCCAGCTAATAAACGCGTTTTCATAAAGGTCACCGTTCATACAACTTTTCGGAAAGCCGTGTTTGCAAAAATCGGGACTTCTAAAAATTTGCGGTGCTGCACTGTTAGTGGGGGGGAGGGTAAATATAAAACTATTTTTGTGTTCCCTATAGACCGTCCTGTTCATAATAAAAATGCATTTTTTAAACGTCTTCACGTTTTTGATTGCTAAAAAATTGTAGAAAGCCTAAACCTAAAAATACCAAAACGAAAATTTTCCAAATACAGGGTGTCCCAAAAAAAAACGACCCATCTGGCATTTCGCCGTGTTACATCCAATCGGCTCCAAATTTGGACCAGAGCTGTATCAGGCCCTAAATAACAAGAATCCTATCTTTTAGCCCCGTAGCTTTAGTAGTTCTCGAGTTATGGCAAAAACAAACTTTAATTTCCGTTTTTCGTAGGGTTTTCGTGGAATTAGACCCCCTAAACATTAAGTGAAAATGATCCGGTAGGCCGTCTTTACCGTAAGAAATTTTTTCCAGGGTAAAATTAATTAAATAAGCTTCGATTTAAGCGATTTTTACCGCGCAAAACTACCCGAGTTCTTAAGTGAAATTAGGGATTCACAGCCGGAAGTCGATGCAAATCGATGCAAAGTCCAAAAAGATAGCCGAAAAAAACTGTTCAGAATCGCGGGAAAAAACAGTATTTTCGTTATAACTCGAGAACTACTGTAGCTACGTGGCTAAAAGTCAGGATTGTTGTTATTTAGGGCCTGATACACCTCTGGTCCAAATTTGGGACCGATTGGATGTAACACGGCGAAATGCCAGATGGGTCGTTTTTTTGGGACACCCTGTAAGTACAATATGCGGATGTATCCACACCCACTAAAACGATGAACTGGTCACAATTAAAACGCACGAAATGCCGAGGGCAAATATTTATTTATCAAAAAAGAGGGCACAGATGGTCAAGGAGACGAGGAGGTAACACTTGTTCCATCATTGAGGCCCCGCCGCATCTAGGCGCTGGCCTTGTTGCCCTTCCTGAAAAAAGGTAGTTGATTCCGCGAGAGCAAAAGCATTTTTACTGATGGTGTCTAGCGCCGAAATTTTAAAATTTAGCCCATTTTTAATAGCATTTCACGTTTTTCATATAGAAACACTAGTCAAATTGCAAAAGTTTGGAAAAATCCCGATTTCTTGGCCAAAAATGTATGAAATTGACTAGATCTTGATGAAACTTTTTAAAAGCTAGCTCACTTCTCGCCATCCTTCTCCTCCTTGCTGGTGTCGTACGAGCGGGGCACGGCACTGCCCCTCCTCGGCCATCCATGGGCCGTGCGGTCCATCCAAGTCTCGGCCTCTGCGATGGCCATTCATCCACCCACAGCCCAATCACTTACCCTTCGCCGTCGGCGCGCGCCTATCTGCAAAAAAACAAAAGTTATGCAACCTATTGAAAATCTCGAACCCGGATGCTGGTCATGCGAGGTGAAGCGGGCGGCCTCAATCCCGCCCGGCGACACGTAGAGAATGCAGCCCGAGCGAACACCGCGCTTCTGCAGCATTTGCGACGAGACCGTGTACACCGGATACTCCTAGCATTTCGACACCTGAAAGTCATATTTTTGAAAATTACGAAAACTTTTCGGGGAATCTCGCCCATCGGCACTTGAACACAATTTTTTGAAAAAAATGGCTTCCGGAAGTGTTTTGTGCAAAAGTATGTGCTGGACTCTTAGCAGGGGGGGGGGGCTACCAATGGAGGGGGAAAGCTAATTCTTTGTCAAAAAAATTTTTACGCTGAACTGAACTTTTTATCTAAAAACCAACTAAAATGTTGTAAAGATGGGTTATATTAGCTTAACGTACAAGGTTATGCAGGAAAATAGTTTTCCCCCCTGCTAAGAATTCAGTACGCAAAGGGGCAGGGAAATCTCATCGTACCCTTGAAAGAATGAAACTTTGTGATACCTGAAGCCCCGAGTCGACCGGATTGCGGGCCCGGATCATGGCCTTGAGGTTGGGATTCTTGCGGAAAAAGCTCGAGATCACGTCGGGGCCGAAGCGCCAGCCGCGACCGCCCGGGATCTTGTTGGTGCGGTGGGCGTCGGGGAGGGAGAAGATCAGCGAGGCCTCGAGGTGGCTGTCCTTCACCGTGGCATTTCCCTTCGGACGGGCGCGAATTGAGGAGAGTGAGAGCTAAAAATCACAATGTTGTACATCAGGTGGAAATGCCTACGTGAGGCGGGATACCGCCGTGGACACAAAAGATTCGCCCGGCAATGATCGCGGCAACCGGGAAACGAGCATGCACCTGAATCAAGTAAAAGCACCTATGGTTCTGGTGCGATAGCGGGGGGGGGGTGGTTTCATAAACCTTGTTTTCATAGTTTTTAGTAGTTTCCGCTTCCTCAAATTTCCGAAAAATTTCGTGAAATTTCTAAAAAGGGCGTAAAATGGTCTTAAATAACCTCGATTTCAGGACAAAGCGTTTACGGAATTAAAATTTGTAAAATTAAGCGACAAAATTAGCACCCCCATGCTAACGAACCAACACCAAGCCGAGAAAGCCCCAAAAAACAAGCAGACCTCTTTGGAGACCGTTTTCACGACGTTGGCCAAGCGTTCCGGGAATCCCATGCGATGTTTCACAACCAGGCCCTCGGTCTCGGTGGTGCCGCGCAGGAAAAAGATTGGCTGGGGGGAGCGGCGCTAAAAGGGCAGATCAAAAAAATTAGCCTGAGCAACAACCTTGAGCGCCAGCAGCAGACACAGCGTCTCCAACGAGTAGCGCACCTTCGGATCGGTAAGTCCGCCCAGGAACAGATATCTTAAAACACGAAATGAAAAGTATGACATGATCAGCCCCACTTCCTGTCCGGCAACCAGCCACACTTGTTGAAGATGCGGAACAGCTGGCTAAAACGGGGTTATGTGGCTGGACATTGGACAGACGCGTAGTCGCCGTTCAAGTTGCCGATGACAATGATGTCGGCCGGCAGCTCGAGCAGCATGTGGTCGTTCTCCAGGATACGGATGACGTCATCAAACAGGTCAGCCACCTAAAGAGGCATTGAGAGCTAATGGCTGCCGACAACCTCAATGACGCTGAACTCGAACTCATAGGGGCCGTGCTCGATCAGACGGGCCGCCAGATCCTTGACACGGGTGTTGATGCGGCGGATTGTCTAAAGTGCGGTAATGACAAACAATATCCACTTACCTTGCACACAACGGTATCGTCGATAAAAAACGTGTGGATCGCCGTCGGTGGTTGCACATTGACGTTTTCAGATATCTGAACATTGGCTTAAAATAAACGCAAGTTACCGAACTTGTCTCCCTAGGAATAACTCCCTACCGAACTGTCACGGGCTCGTGGTGGAGCCTTCTCAAGCCCGCGGAGGACGGCTTGAAGTCGGCGGAAAGCCGCGTAGTCGCGAGCCTCCTTGTCACGACACCCCTTCTCGGCACGGATCCGGCGCAGCGCGCGCTCCGTCATAGGCGGGTAGAACTTGGCGCTGACCGCCTCGGCGTCGGGGTGCAGAATGCACTGAGAATGGCGTTTAAAAAAATAGCCTGCCATCCCTACGACTGGAGCAGGAAAGCCGAACCAGTCGTCGGAGAGCACCATGGCGCGTTCGATCTTCTCGAGGGCCGTCACGCGATTCTCTTCCTGGAAAAGGGAAAATGGTTATATAGAATACAGAAAATGTTTATATAGTATATATTGCTCCCCCCCGCTAACAGGCCAGTACCGGGAGATATGATGCAAGCGGCGGAGAAGCTCACCTGAACTTTGGTGAGATGCGGCCACAGCGTGATGGCGAGCACGGCGATGACGAGCACGAACGGCATCGACCTGCGCCAATCGGCCTCGCGCTCATATCCTTGCGAGATGCGGGTGGGCTGGAATAAAAGAGCTTAGTTTTTCGATAGAATACACACCAGGTAGAACTCGACGTCGTCGGCGTTGCACAGCGTAGTCCCGCAGCACATCACGGCGCCGGTGAATTCTTTGTTCTAAACATGGCAATTACATTGCAGAAAATATGACACTAACCGGCCCCTCTCCGTGCAGGCGAAGAGCGATAAAATCGTGGAACTAAAAAGAATTTAGTAATTTTTCAAATTTCAAACGTTTTGTGGGTTGTCCTTTTCGGATTTCCAGTCCAATTGAACGCCCTCGCTGACGGTGATGTTCATCGTCAAATCCGGGATGTAATAGCTGGAAATAAACGGTGAAAATCATACAAAATAGGGTCGCTTACCCTCCTTTCTCACGGTATTCATAGCATTTGGATGGCAGACTGCTGGCCGGGACGCCGGTTCGGATTTGGTAGACCGGCATCAGTCCATCGCTAAAAAAGTACGTTCACATACCTCACATTGAGGCCTTGTAAGGCACTGGACTGTTAGAGGGGGGAACTATTGTCTAATAATTTTATTTTACCTTTTTAGGCCATTTTTCATACACTTCTGACAAAAAATTCCAAAATTATCGTCAATTTTTTAGCTTTTCACATCTAAAAACTCTGGAAAATTCCATAAAAATGGGTTATATTTTGTAATAGGACCGTGTAAGGGTACTTGGAACTTTAACTCCCCCTGCTAACAGTCCAGTACCAAAATAAGTATGGTCTTAAATAACCTCTATTTCAGGACAAAGCGTTTACGGAATTAAAATTTGTAAAATTAAGCGACAAAATTAGCACCCCCATGCTAACGAACCAACACCAAGCCGAGAAAGCCCCCAAAAACAAGCAGACCTCTTTGGAGACCGTTTTCACGACGTTGGCCAAGCGTTCCGGGAATCCCATGCGATGTTTCACAACCAGGCCCTCGGTCTCGGTGGTGCCGCGCAGGAAAAAGATTGGCTGGGGGGAGCGGCGCTAAAAGGGCAGATCAAAAAAATTAGCCTGAGCAACAACCTTGAGCGCCAGCAGCAGACACAGCGTCTCCAACGAGTAGCGCACCTTCGGATCGGTAAGTCCGCCCAGGAACAGATATCTTAAAACACGAAATGAAAAGTATGACAGCATCAGCCCCACTTCCTGTCAGGCAACCAGCCGCACTTGTTGAAGATGCGGAACAGCTGGCTAAAACGGGGTTATGTGGCTGGACATTGGACAGACGCGTAGTCGCCGTTCAAGTTGCCGATGACAATGATGTCGGCCGGCAGCTCGAGCAGCATGTGGTCGTTCTCCAGGATACGGATGACGTCATCAAACAGGTCAGCCACCTAAAGAGGCATTGAGAGCTAATGGCTGCCGACAACCTCAATGACGCTGAACTCGAACTCATAGGGGCCGTGCTCGATCAGACGGGCCGCCAGATCCTTGACACGGGTGTTGATGCGGCGGATTGTCTAAAGTGCGGTAATGACAAACAATATCCACTTACCTTGCACACAATGGTATCGTCGATAAAAAACGTGTGGATCGCCGTCGGTGGTTGCACATTGACGTTTTCCGATATCTAAACGTCGGCTTAAAATAAACGGAAGTTACCCCTTACCGAACTGTCACGGGCTCGCGGTGGTGCCTTCTCAAGCCCGCGGAGGACGGCTTGAAGTCGGCGGAAAGCCGTGTTGATATCCCAGTGTTTATGCAGCACGCAAAGTCAATCGTCAAAAATAGAGCATATGGATCATTTCTTCTTGTTTGGGATGTACGGATTCAGCCCGAGGTCCGCCCAATAGGTGACCATCTTGCAGGCATTGCAGGGATCTGTAAAATCAACTGTTCAGGCGGAAACGAGATGCTCACCTCGAGGAGTACAGTGCACCCCGCTGCAATACGGCTTCTTCCGGTAGCGGCTAGACGCCTTGCTGCAAAATATTTGGTTTTTGTACAATTACTTTTGGTACTGGACTATTAGCGGGGGGACCAACTTCTGTTTTCCGCCTATTCCTAACTGTTGATGATATAGTATGTCTTTTTCCAGGGTTTGAATAGTTTTTCATCGCTAGAAATTTAGAAAAAATCGTGTGGAAAATTTTGAAAATTAGAAAATGTTCGATTTTTTAGGTCGTTTTTCATATATCTTTGACCCAAAAAATCAAAAATTTTCGAAATTTTCATTATTTTGTGATATTGTTTGTCTAAAAATCATGTAAAATGCTTCAAAAATGGTCTGATATTTTGTTATAGGGCCGTAGAGAAGCACAGGGGGAAAATCCCCCCCCCCCCGCTAACAGTCCAGAAAGAAAAATTCAGCCAAAACGTACAGGTAAGCCTCGGAGCACTTGGCACAGAGGGGCGGCCCGTACTTGAGTGTCACGAGCTGGAGGCCGGTCTCTGCTGGGCATCTACGGCAGATGCCATCCTGAAAAAGAGTTTTTAGCGTCGATCGGGTTTAGAGGTACACTCACCGCACCCTCACGAACAGGGGGATGTCCAGGGGCACGGTCAGCCGGCTCGGGGATGTCCTGAAAAGAGAAAGTTTAGCGCATTCAGGCACAGGTTCTCTGTTTAAGGTAAGCCTAAGCAAAGCTTCAACCTAAGCCAAGCCAAACCCAAGTCTAAGCTAAACCTAAGCGAAGCCAAACCCCAGGCTAAGCCAAGCTAGGCCTAAGCCAAGTCTAAGCTAAGCCAAGCTCATTCTCACAGCTCGTCCTGCTGGACATTTTGACATATCAAAAGTATATAAAGGTGCCCGTATAAGCAAATTTTCCCATTCCGTTTCATAAGGATGTCCGACGTACAGGGCTCCGGGTTTTGGGCCGTGACTCAGTTTTTGGCATTTCGGGGCCTCTTATCAGAAAAGTTAAAAACAATATTTAACGCATACGCTATTTACCAAAAAAATTTACCAACCTCGTCTTCTTCTTCTTCTTCTTCTTCGTCCGTCTGCTCCCACGACGGGTTGGGAGACAGTTCGCTGCTCGACTGGTCGTCGCTGCTCGGCTGGTCGTCGCTGCTCGACTGGTCGTCGCTGCTCGACTGGTTGTCGCTGCTCGACTGGTTGTCGCTGCTCGACTGGTTGTCGCTGCTCGACTGGTTGTCGCTGCTCGACTGGTCGTCGCTGCGCGACTGGTCGTCGCTGCTTTGCTCTTCGGGCTGTTCGCTGACGTCAACAGCGTCCGCTTGCGTCTTCTCCTCTTCGGCTCTCGGCTCGACTTCTCCCAGCCGCCCCATGGTCGAGTCCTGCTCGTTCTCGATGAGGCGGTGCACCTAAAATTAGCTGTTTCGATGAGATCAAGTTACGAGCTACCGAGATGAGGAGCACGTCGAGCTTGTTGCTGAAGTCGGCGACGCTGAGCTTCAGCTCATCGGCGGTGATGGTCGGCGTCCTGCCTTCCTAAACGTCAGAGCTTAACGTAGTATGTGATTCCGATACCAATATTGCCACCCGGTTAGCGGCCATCAGATTGCGCATCTTATGGATCTAAAAACGTCAATTAGCGGTTTGATCGGCATAGCTTACATTATAGAGGAAGGGGGTCATGTTGTTTGCCATGTATTCGTACGCTTCGTCGAAGTGTTCGCATGCCGCCGCGTATTCGCGCAGGAGTATCTGAAGAAACCAGTCAGCCAGTTTCAGCGGGATGCATACCTTGGCGTGGTTTGACGTCATGATGGTGGTGGTAGAAGACGGTCGTAGCCGTGTCGATGATGATTTTCTTAGCTGACACGTCACTGATGTTTTACCGCTATGCCACACAACAGGTGCGTAAATAAACACTCCTGAACAGCTGTGGGCACAGCTGTATCCCAGTCGACCGCTGTGACACAGCTGCCCCCACCACTGTGAGGAGTGTTTTATTTGTTGCGTTTCCGCACCCTTCCGGAACCGTTCCCGCTTCCGGAAACGGTCCGGAAAGATGGGAAACGCAACAAAAAGCCACAAATTACAAGTATACAGGGTCAAAGACCCCAAACCAAGCAGAATCCACGACGCAAAGTTCAACAAAACAATTTATTACTCAGAAAAATTATTGCAATGCAATTTAAACGCCGAAACAATATAATCTGTACTTTTGCATTATCAGGGGGGATTGAACTTTACCTTTTTGGTACAATTTAACAAATTTTACATTTTTTTCGTCATAAAATCGCCAAATTTTCACCAAAATTCATCGAAAGGAAAACTAGGTCCTGGGAAAAACCCTAGGACTAATCAAAAATTTGATAAAATTAAAAATTTGCCCCTTGACAATGCAAAAGCACCAAACAAATTGTATTTCACGTACTTGATTCTCAAGCAAGCCCGTCGGATGTCGTACGGCGTTGCCGAATCTTACACATGGCGTCTTTCCTGGCCGGTAGAACCTAAAAACTACGTAAGTAAGACTAAAAAACATCAGAAAACGAGGAGAAAGGGCTGCGAAAAACTACTCACCGGTGACTTCCTAGTAGATGTCGCGTTTGCCTTGAAATCGGGCTTCCCCTAAACAAACGGGTCAATTTCCAGAACAAAATACCTCTGTGTCGACGAGATCCTTGGCGCTTTCGGCACGTTGGCGCGTTTCGGTGCCGCGTCTCATCTAAAATAAGGTTGAATAAGACAATCATACGAAAGGAACAAAACGAGCAGCGACATTTTACACTTCATATCCGCACAACCATTGCGCAGTTTTATAGCCAAGCTAAAAAAGAAGACGAACCAATAAGATGTCGATCCATCGAATACGAAATGCCCGGACCATCGACGCATGACCCTCGCCTAAATTAAACAAAGAAACTAGCAAACGTCAAAAAGCTTACCGTGCGTTCATTTCTGCTTCTTTTGCCAGCGACCGGCCTACTTCCGTGCGGCGTCGCCAAATTTGCTTCTTTCGTGGCGTGTAGAACCTAAAAAACCACGTAACTAAGACTGAAAAATATCAGGAAACGAGAAAAACAAGGCCGCGAAAAACTACTCAACGACGGCTTCCTAGTAGATGTCGCGCTTGCCTTGAAATTGGCCTTCCCCTAAACAAACGGGTCAATTTCAACAACAAAATACCTATGTCTCGACGAGAACGCTTGGCGTTTTCGGCCGCTGACGCGTTTTCGTGCGGCATATCTAAAATAAACTTTAATAATACAACAGCGCTAAAACAACAAGGCAAACGCGACATTTTGATACCCTAAATTCCCACAACTATGGCAAGTTTGATCGCCAAGCCAAAAAAAAAGGAAAACAAACCATGATGATGTCGATCCATCGCACGTTGACACGCCCGGGCCATAGAAGCAGCGCTCATTCCTAAATTCACAAAGAAACTAGATAATTTCAAACAGTTTACCGCGCCCTTATTGCTGTGTCGCCGGCCAGCGCCAGGCGGTCGAAATTTGCAGCTCGTCCTTGCCCAGGAGCATCAATCCTAAAAAGAATCTAAAATCCCAGTAAGAAATCCACCAAACCAAGCAATTTATGACGGCGCCATGTTTTTGAAGTGAGAAAAGGGCACTTATAACAAACGAACGTAACAGCGTTTCCAAAAAACAAAACACGCACGTTACGGAAGCAAAAATAGACAAAAAAACTAACCAGAAATGCGCATCGTGCTGCGGCCAAGGTAGATCTTCGCGGAAATAGCGTAGACGGGTCCGTCTACCGCTTGTGATCGCTTTCATTTCTAAAAACTAAAACAAACGTACATTTACAACCAGAAAAACTCACTTTTATCGCTCTTTTCAGCCCCATCGTGGCAACATATCTAAATAGGTATCACCTAAACACGAAATCAAGCTTACAATGAACAATTATGTGTTTTTACTTCTAAAAGATACTTAAAACATGATTTTAGTACTAAACTTTAGTATACCGGCAAAGCCCTGAGCCTTTCCCATCGGCAAGAGCGCACTCGGTGGCAGCGGGTGTAGTGGTGTCTCGTACCTTGGTAAAAGCTTACAAATTTGTGGTTTTTCGGTGTTTCCGGTATTAATAAATTAAATTGAGATAATTAAAAGCGAGTAGAGCAGAAATCCGGACCGGTAGAGCACTTTGCGGGTTTCGAGCTTTTTCGGCTGGTTTCTTCCTTAGAAATGATCGTTTTTAACGCTTTTGTTCACGCTTCTTGCACATCCTACTTCCTACTATATATATAAAAAAAATAGTGTCTGTGTGTGTGTGTGTATGACACTTTGCATGCAACTTCCGTCAGCGTGTCCGGAGGATATCTCAAGAAGGGAAGGGATGAAGAGGGCGGATGATACGCCATTAGACGCGTAATGGTCTATAGATGACTGCACACACATCAGATTTATCAAAATCGTCTATTTTCGACATTAGATTTTAGTTTTTGTTGAAAAATCCGGCTCCCTCTTTGTTAGGAAAAAATTAGCATATGCCGGAAGTGGGAGTAGCCTATATAATCGGGGAGAGGGAACGCTTTTCATTTTTTGGACGTAGAAGTGCGGAAGGATTATGCAAAGCGAGGGATATCATAGGGTTGGACGGGGCCAGGGTTGAAAAGTCGCGAAGCGGCTTTTCAACCCTGGTTTTTACTAAAACTAGAGTTGTTATTCGACCCGGGTCGAAATGGTCGAAACTTTTGTAGGCTCCCGCAGCGAAAACTTTGTAAAATTCATAACTTCTTTCTAAAGTAGAATTCCGCTATTTCGCCTTCATTTTTGTTTCTGTGAGATCATTTCCTACATTTTGAGTCCTTAAACTATAAGTTTTCATGCTAGAATCACAAAGAACGGCACACCATGGCAGGGGGAAGTGGTTCTGAGAAACCAGATGATTAAAGCCACTTCGTGGCTTTAATCATCTGGCCTTTGCGTGGGCACCATTACAGTTGCAGGCATTAATATGAAAAGATAGCAATACCGTTAAAACGGTTTGGTTCCGAAAGCGCGACGCAAATTCAAAGCACAATTATTTATCAAAACAAAAAATGGCACAAAAATTAGGCATCATAAACTTCTTTAAAGACGATATTGTCCATTTGCTTGGTTGGTGAGTCGATGTGTATGCCGGCGCGAGTGCGAGATCTTGAGAGCGCCACATACAATTGGCCATGGGAGAAGATCCGTTCGTGGAGGGCCAGTCCAACTTGATCGAAGCTTTGCCCTTGCGACTTGTTGATCGTCATAGCGTAGCTCAACCGGACGGGGAACTGTCGACGGACGACTTTGAACAGGTTCTTTTCGTATTGGTAGCGACAATCGATCCGAGGGATCAGCACCATTTCGCCCTTCCGGTCGCCAGTTGCCAATTCGCACGTCAGCACGCGTTGGCCAATAGCTCGCACATACATTCGGCTTCCATTGCACAGGCCGTCCTTCACCGATAGATTGCGGAGCAACATCACGATGCATCCGACCTTCAGGTTCAGTTTGTGCGGTGGAAGGGCGGCACAGACGATGTTGTTGAGGAACTCGGGCGGGTACCGGTAACCGTCGCTCGGATTGTCGGACTCCACGTCGTCCTGGCTGATGAAAGTGGTAGTTTGCCCCGGCATTGCTTCCAAAACTTCGTTGTTGATGTCTAGCGCGTCGGCATTTTTGGGCGATAGAATCGCGCGATCGGAAAGATCGATAGGCTCTCCGTTGAATGCAGGGCCAAAGATGTGACCTGCGAGGTTATCCTGGACGGCCATCGAGGCTGGCACATCGATTTGTCCTTCGTGTCCGTCGATCCCATCGCCAATATTCAACAGCCAATCCTTGAAGCCTTGGTCGTTGCCTGCCACTCGCATGTTCGATTTGAGGGAGTGCCGCTCGAATTCCGGCCAGAGTCGGGAGCGTTTTATGGTCGCGTCGACCATGTCCCGACGACTTCCGCGCTCCACAACGGGGAGAACTTGGCGAAAATCGCCGCCGAGCAGAAAGAGCTTGCCGCCGAACGGGGCCTGGTTGCCCATCAGATCCTTCAGCTTCTCGTCGATCGCTTCCAGCGCCTTCTTCGGGGCCATCGGCGCTTCATCCCAGATCACGGCATCAACCTGAAAAACACGTTTGTTGAAAAGCCACCAAAACAACAAAAAAAACGAATCTAATCAGACCTTTCGCAACTCTTGAGATTTCTTGTCCTGGTTCTTGAGCATCGAGGTGTGGTCGACGATTGACAACTGGAAGGCAGAGCTGACCGTCTTGCCATCGGGTAGGAGCGCAGCAGCAATGCCTAAAAATAAAAATTAGCAGGTTTAAAGATTAAAAAACCAAAAGATTTGAAAAAATTACCTGTCCAGGCGACGTTGAGTATCTGCTTCTTGTCGGCGACCGCGAGGTGGTAAATGGTCTTGTAGACAAAGGTCTTGCCGCTGCCTCCGGGACCATCAATGAAGTGGCAGGTTCTTGGATTCGGCAAACGGCCTTGCAGGGCGCCGAGGACGGCATCAACGACGACCTTCTGCTCGGCGTTCAATTTGGCGTACATCTCCTGGCCGATCCTTCGGTGGGCATCGTAATCCGGCGGGGGATTATCTGGATTGAGCCGAGCCGGTATCTCCCTGAAGAAGATCTCGGGTCGCCGGTTAGCGTCGGCGATGCGGTCGCAGATGTCGTGAAAGGCCAGCGATTCAGCAACGTGCGGCGCGTGTCCTTGGTGGAGGAAGTCTTCGCAGAACTGATCCTTGTACCGCTCCCAGAGTTCGTCAGGCTTTGGGGGGAAAAGATCGGCGAAGCACAACAGCGATGCGA